TCTTGCACTTGCTCTTAGTCCTCTCCTGTTATTGCTTTTGGTTTTGAACCTGCTCTTGCTGTTGCTCCTACTCTTGCTCCTGCTCCTGCTTTTGTTCCTGCGACAACCCCCTAATGCAAACTAGGTTGCAAAAGGGCAGGGATGACTTCGTGAGGATTGACCCCGAAGTGTTTTTGGTGGGGTGTTCAATACATGGGGTGGGGGGGCGGATTGTTACTACTGTCAATTGTTAGTCTTTATGTGTACTATCATTCGTAGTAGTTGTAGTAGCAGCAGCAGGAGGAGTAAGAGTAGTAATCGTGATCGCAGTGGTAGTTGGTAGTATTTGTAGCGTAGTGGTAGCAGCTAGCAGCAGTAGGAGCAGCAGTTAGTAGCAGGAGCCGCCGTGGCAGCTAGCAGCAGTTGCATTGTAGTGGTAGTTAATAAGTCAGCAATAGGTGGTATGTACTGCTAATATAGCAAAAGTAAGAGTTCACGGCAAATATCCAACATCCTGCCAAACAGCTCCGGAAACCAGGCTGTCAGGCGCAGGCCTGAGCCTCGTAAGGCCAATGTGCAACTGAGGAAATTGAGCACCCGCTTTTGGCTCTTGGTATGGTGTCTGCTGCGGATTCGTCAATGTAAGCGCTATGGGTGGGAGCACGCGAGGAGGTTGCCCCAATGTCGCCGGCACAGTGCCGAGGACATCCTCTAAGAATCCCTCTGTGCAACTTAGAACCGGCTTTGGATCGCCCCCGTGTCATACTCGACTGGACGGACGAAATCTTGCAGGCCATGCCGTAGTTTCCGGCGAAGAGCACATATTGAAACGCTACAACCTGGATCGGGCTATCGGATCTTTTCCCCGGGAAGTTCTGCGAGAAAACACAAGGACAGGACATGACATCGCTGCAGAAAACGACTGTTACATGACAAGCGGTCACTAAGTACGGGATGTGTTTTGGGATGCTCTCGGAGACCGCCCCCTAAGCAGCCAAAACCCCCAAGCAACTAAGTCCTCAACGGTCTTGTACAACGTGGGGTGAACATGCAAGCCTGCTGGCAGGGATTGCAGGAAATGCAAGCTCACAGGCTTGTTCGGGCTAATTATGGCAATGGTCACGAGATGCTTGAATGGACTTCGAAGACACTATTCAAGTTTACTCGGATTTGGGCATCGTCAAGGCAGAGGCATGCTACGCTAGACATGAAGCAGCAGGAACCAGACAAAAAAATTGCTTTGCAGCATTTGCGGTGTATGTCAAAACTGTTAAAGACCACAAGATCGAAAACTGCAGACGTAGGTCAACCCCGGTGTCCGGCGCATGACACTAAGGTTGGTGCAATCAGCTGCCGTGGTTGCTAACCGATTTGAAGAAGTTCACATATTGGCCAGTTCGGGCAGGTCGACATTACGAGCACCAAGACTGTAACGATGAACGGGCCGATGGATGGGCCAGGGCGGTCTTCCAACATCTCGAAATTCAGGGTGCCAGCTGTGAGCAAGCATCCGAAACTAATCGGGCCTCAGCTACGAGCTCGTTAAGCCAATGCTGATGCTAGCCACTATACACTATACTCTCGCCATCAGTGAAGAGCCTGCAAGCCCTGCCTCCCACATTAACATAGTTCGCCGGGATTTCGCACTGCGGTGTGGCGCTTAAACTGCCGGACGCCATGATCCTGAGGACTTAAGCTGCGGATTAGTGACACTCAGCTAGGGAGTCCGATCCCATGTCTATAAACTTTCTCATATTACACATGATTACCCCAAGCACCCAACCGAGCTACAAAAACCTGCTGTTCATTGTCCCCAACCGCCCAGCTGACAAAGGCTGTGGTGCTTGCGGCTTGGAGCTTCGGGCTTGGGCAAACGCTGTGGGCTTGGGTTTTGGTTGCGTGAGCATTGAGTTTCCCGTGAACGGGGATATTCTACAGGGAAATTTTGCGTGAGGAAGGGATGGAAGTGCCAATACATCTTCCGGCGCTCGCACAGCAGGCCAGGCTTTTGAGCTTTGTCGAAGCTTCTACCGCAAGAGGATCGGCGCCGGGATCTGTGACAAAACTCTTCATTCCGGGCTGGTGGCTGCCCCTGCCACGTCGGAACTAGAATATCCCAGTAGTATTTATGTATGTAGAAACATGAGTTGGGAACTTTGCAACGTATCAACGGCATGCTGGATACACACAGCCTCCACGTAGTCAAGCAGCGAAGACTTCGCGGTTCTTCGAAATGCACGGAAAGCAAGTGGATCTGATAGTATATGGCTGCAACAGGGCGGATTTGACAATGACCGCCAATACAAAGTGGAAAGACATCTGATTCTTCTGCACCCGAACATGTTCAGCCATAACCAGATACTCCAAAGAGTGATGAAGTGATGGACAGGGTGGCCAACAAACAGAGTACGCCAACAAACAGAGACAGCGAGCGACCAACAAACAGGGACCAAACCGGCGACAGCGACGTGAGACAGAGACAAAGAGACCAAGATCCGAACGAGCCAAATGAAGGACGCCAAGACGACAGAGCGTCAATGCCGGATTGATGGGCTGGCCAATGCCACCATCAACTATGCAAGCATCAACCAGCCTGCCGAAACGCAGAGCAAGAGCGTAGCTGCGCAGAGTCCCACTGAAACCCGTGTCTTGTGTTTTGAATCTTAACTGGTTTGGGAGCAGTCTTGCGTCGGCAGAATTTAACTAATTGCACAATCAGTTGGTTGCATCTCTACAGCAAAAATTTCTGAGCTGTACTTACGAACATCTAACATGGCATGCCGGGCCTGGCTTTTGCAGTACCAAACATGCAAAGTTCCGGAGTAGCCTCACCTACCACAAATGACAGCACCCACAAACAGCCCACAAACGAAACTCGCCTTGATGCGGGATTCCAGGATAGCAGGGCCTTAGATTCTCACCGGCTGCCTACTCCCTCTCCGTGTAGACCAACATTAGGCATAACCGCATAAGTTGGGAGGGATCAACACTGCAGTCTACTCTGCACAAGTAATACGCTCATGTAAGCACATAGCTATAGCACTGAAACAGGCAAACAAGAAAAACAAAAACAAAACACACACACACACCAGGAAACGAACACTTGAACACAGGACCTCTGAAGCACACACGATGACAAGATTTCGGAACATGCCGTAATTAAATTCCAAGTGTTAATTTGAACAGCACATGCAATGCACACAGACTCACTTAATTCACAGCTCTTAGCACGTGAGTAAGTCAGGGTAGTTACGCAGCCCTGACGTTCTGGGCAGTGATGCAGAGATTCGCTTGCAAAGTCAGCCCTAACAGAAAAGAAGAACATGGCCCCGCCCACCCGCACACGATCACCGACTTTAACCAACGATGGCTTGTCTTATCATTGGAAAGAACATGACTGAACATCTGGACACGAAGCTCAATCCGTCCGAGCCCAAGGCCCTCCTTTCTTAGTAGGGCTATTGCCTCATTGAACCTGGCAGTCGAAGCAGGAGATTGAGCTGGATTAGACTGATCGAATGTCTACCCATGGATCCTGGGGCGCTTCCGGATTGGCGCAGCATCCAAGGCAATCAGTGTCTCCGCTCCTGAAGTCCTCCCGAAATTATCCACCTCCCTCCCACCGCACCCTTGGCCCGAGACGACTGCTAAAGAGTTCTGGAATCTGAGCGAGGTGTTGGACTTTTCTGAGACACGCCATTCGGAGCGCGTACAGCCCATGCGGAGTCGAATTGCGAAGTTGAGCCCACTCACCAATATCATTTTTGGTACATTTTGGTACCCAAAAAAATCTTGCCGGCTTCAATGCGTTTCGCAAAACTTTTAGCATGGACCCAGCAATGGATGATTCTACAATAATTATGCAACTGTTTAATTTAGTTCGTTCACAGACTGCCTGTCTGTTGTCACCACCGTTTCTACCATCGTTGTCTTATTTCTGCTTCTCCACTATTATTCAATATCATTCCTACTGCCACTACGTCGACGACTAATGGCAGCTGCTGCTTCTACTCCTGCTCCTACTTGGAAGCGTGCAACCGCCCAAGGTTTTTTGGGATAACGCCCGGCTATCTGGATATGCCTATCACTGAGATGCGGGCCAATGGATCGAGAAACAATTATTTCAGTAGGATGCAGATACTGTAATTAGTTTGGCATCAGCCCCACTCGACCTTTTGCTTCGGCGCCGAATCTGGTAGACCCGTCTTCGAATTGCAACTCGCCAAATGCAAGGAGCAATCCAGCAACGTCCAGAAAGCAGCTGAGAGTGATGACGGGTGACAGGACTACAGTCGGAGAAACGATTTTTGCTTTCGGGCATGCCCGCATTGACCTCACATTGATATGTCCTTGTCCCTCCTAGCAAAATGTGGAAATCGTCCTGTAAGCCAGTTCCTACTCGTATGAAACGACGGTGCTTGCTGGACGATGTGGCAAGAAACTTGCAGCAAGGCAAGGAAGTAGAAACATTCCCAAGAGGCGAAACAGGAGAATGCAGCAACGTCCAGCCCGGACAATGCCCCTGCGGTGATCTGCACCGTAGTCGATTGCGACCGGGTGACGCCAGCTGTTGCGGCCTCAAGTCTACATATTTGCCTGCAGCACCTCAAGGGAGGTTAGTTTTTCGATCTGCCCCAGCAAATCAAATGCTGCGATTGCTTCTTATGTCTGCCATCCGACCTCGCTAGACCTCGTGCACTCACGCCTCAAGCGTCACCCGACTCAAACGACCGTGCTGCCAGTTTCAAACGGCACCTAAAATCCCAGCAGCTCAAAATCAAAGGGAGCCGACTCTCGGCGGTTGACGACACCACCACCTAAACAGACCGCTCTGGAGAACACCTCGGCATCCGCACATTTCAGGACATGCCCATGCTGTGTTTGCGGGAGGTTATAGACGCCGTGGGGATGCTGAACGACTGCTGAAAATGAGACCCATGACTGCTAGCCGCTTGCAACGTCAGAGGCAAAGCACCAACAGCAATAGCAGCAACGACGACAACAACACCAGCAGCAGAAATTGGAAACCGACATGCTTTTCGGGTAAGGCTCTCTAGGTGACGATGGCTTCATCTCGAGGACACAAACACACCCAAACATGGAACCTATTGGACACCTTGGTGACTTCGAAGCGGACTCTAGACCCGCTACCATATTCAATAGAGTCTATGCCTCCTCACGACAGGTCTGCATCGCATTGCCGAGTCCTGGCGCTGTAGGCATGCCGCGTCTTGCATGTCGCGGCTTCTGAGGATAGGGAGAAGGTTCAGCTGGATGACATACCCCGTTTTGAAAGCACAGCCCGACATGTGAAATCTGCACGTGGCGCGACACTCTTCCCGCAAAGTGCAAACGTGCACTGAAACACAAAGCCGCAACTGCGCATTGTGATTCAGGGGGAGCTGGCCAGGCCTGAAACGAGTGGAAACGGCAGGAATAAACACTGGGGGTTTCAGGGAGCACAGCACGAAACTCTCCGCGCAGCGTAAAACAAGATTGCACTCAAACACACAAAAAGGCTGTAAGGCCAAGGAACTGAATCAGCCAGAGGAAAGCAATACCCAACAAGCATGGCCCAACCATTGGCAGCACAATGCTACTGGACGGATGTGAACACCGTACTTCGACGTCGAAATATAGGACATGCCCGCCTGCAGTGACTATGCAGTGGCAATGGGACCGTCATAGGATATTACAGATGTCGTTATACTGACTCTGCTGCACATGTCTATTCCGGCATCATTGGCCTTTTAACATGCAGCCTGCCGACATGACCGACAAGTTGCAGAGTCAGTGAGGAAGAACTGACTGAAGTAATATCACGAGCCCGGAGACTTACCACATCTCATACGTGTAAGCGTCAGTGCAGGTTATCACGACATGTGGACGACATGTGTCAAGCCTGCCAGAGTGCTGCTTCCCGCACGCACAGCTCATCCTGCAGTGAGACTTTCAAAAAGCTGACTTCCGATGCCTCGATCCTCGAGCTGGTTGAGGTGTGTGACAAGTTTGGGGAGCTGAAAGATCACGAAGGTGCAGGAGGAAAGGGGCAGGCAGAAAATTTCGGGAAGATGGATGGTGGGGGAAGGGCTGCGTTCTCGGGTTGAAGCTTATTGCAAGTTGCCGGCTTTCCATTATAGGAATGGGAGTCCGCGCAGGGGGGAAGGGAAAGCCAGGGAGACGAGGATGGAGAAAGGAGAAAGGAGAGAAAGGTACCTGAGAGGAAGGGGTGGGAGTGAAAGGATGGACTCTGTGCTCAGAACTCGAGATCCCAAGAGCTTGAAATTATAACGGTGAGCGGGTCCTGCTCATGTACTTCAATGTTTGAATAAAGAGAGATATACATTTATGTGTGTATACTGTGTATATATACATAGATACATATTGCATATATCTATCTGTTCGTTTCTGTCTGTCTTTCTCTATTTGTCGGTTATGCACATAGAAATCTGCCGGAAGAAAAACTGCAAACAAGCAAACCCTCAACTGGCCTCATCCCTCCGCGCGCACCAGGGAGCGCATGCGATGGAATAACCGCACATTCGCACCTGGGCTCTCGCGGTGCTCGCTGGACATATTGCAAAAGATATCATTGATATGTGGGTCTGTTGACACTGATGCCCAAGTACGTAGACTGACACAAAGCCATGAAGATACATGACCTAACTAAATCCGAGCTAAGCCCAAAACACAAAACAACCTCCTGCTTTCTCATTCGGGTCGAACTGATCTCGAACAAACGCGATGATCTAATCCCCAAGATCTACCCATCTACCCACTGCAATGCTGACATGGACCCACGGATGTCCGGGAGCCCGCGCGCCAGTCTCCCAAAATTTGGCCATGAAAGAAGGCCTGCGTGAGCCACCATGGCTTCTGTTGCTTGGTCTGACGTGCCCTGCCAACCATGAATTCCATCCGCAATCATACCAGCTGCCCTTGCTCGCCTCCAAACCAAGATATCGTAGGTGAACCTGAAACCTGTACCCCTCACACCAACCACCAGGTAATTATATGAACAGCTCAATAGCCCGCAACGTCAGTTGACTTCTGGGTTCTCCAGAATCTGCCGTCGTGGTTCGATTGACTCGCACTTTGAGAGGAGAAGCCTCGTGTACCAGCACAGTAGAGGTTCTGGATTCGGATGAATGATGAAGCCCCTTCCCCCACAACCCCATAGTATCCCCAGCTAGCAGCTAGAAAAACAAAAGTATGCTTGCAGCCATTTGTCACGAGTGTTGCGATGCTCCGACAGTAGGGGTACGAGTGGCGGTGAGACCAGTCACTAGAGTCGTCCAGGCCCCCACGAATTGGCCATGTCACGCAAAGAAATTCAAATGCCACAAACAAGCGCACCAAGGCGCATGTCGTCATGCTTTGCATGATTGTTTGAATAATGGTTGGCGCAGGTTGCAGACGTGGGTCGCACCCGAGCTGAACCTACCACCCAAACCACAAAGGAAAAAGGAGGTGGGTGTCACTGCAATGATCCTCGTGTGTGCCAGAGTGAAGGCTATCCCGCCCGGGGCGGAGGAGTGAATTTCGACAAGGCAGGTCCGGTGCTGTTTCCTCTCTCGATCTCTTTCGGACATCGCGTTGAGAAATCATGTGAGGTAGTCCCGCTGGCTCTCAAGCCCCATCTCACTGCGATGAGGTGCACAAGATTGCAGTAGTAAACCCGTTTCGTGCAATGTAGGGGCAGGCTTATGGGCAACGTGCTGCTTCACCTGTTGTCCCGCACAGTCGAAGGGAATGCAGCACATTGTAGCACTGCCGGGCATGGCGAGAACACATAGCGACGTAGCGTCATCCTGTTTCCGACCCTTCCGTTTCCCTCCCAGAAGTATACTCACCCCCAAGACGCCCTCCAAAAGTATACGAAAAGACAGACGAGCAGGGGCCTCGCACCAGAGGATCTCCAAAGACTCGGACCCTTGCGACCTAGGTGCTTCCGCAGAAAGGAGCACACGAAAATGGATATGGTTCAGTCAGGCTCAGGATCCAGGGCAGAAGCTTCCAAGTTCAAGAGTGGGACTGACGCGTTTTTGAGCAAGTCCTTCCTGCGCCGGAATGTTCGGAGCCTTGAGGCTGTCGCGGACGAAATCTCACCGCAAACAATGAGAATCTGAGGCAATATTCTTCTGTCCCTGCAATTAAGGAGGCAATGCTGGCCCACAAGCCGAGTCCGCCGAGTCCCGGACTTGTTTGAGGAAGCTGCCTGTTGAAGGGTGTCCACACGCACGTCCGTGGAAGAGCCTTGGGCAAGCGAAGGTTGGATGTCCTCATTCGCCGAATCTGTCGTCGACGTTCTGAAGGCCATGGTCAGCAGCATCACTACGAGTACCATTACGTTGCTGCACGAATGTCTTTTGCTGCTACATTGGGCATTGGGGGTTTGCTGCCGTGATCGTAGTTTAGTTGTTGCTAAATGTAGTAAGTCTCTGCTGCTTTCACAACTGCTGAGAGCGCCAAGGTTGGTGATCGGAAAATCCTGTTGTTTGCCTTGCTGCCTGCGCCGCTGCCGCTGCCGCTAGCGCTGCGGCTGCTGCTGCAGTTGTTGCCGTTTTTCTTGGGGGTGATGGTATTGTTGATGTTCTTGGCGCTGTTGCTGTTGCTGTTGTTGATGTTGACGTTGTTGATGATGATGCCGTTGTTGTTCTTGTTGGCGCTGCTGCCGCTGCCGCTGCTGATGCTGCTCTGTCGCTGTTGTTGTTGTTGCTGCTGCCATCGTGGCTGCTGGTGTTGTTGTTGTGGTCGTGGCGATGGCGGTGGCGGTGGCGGTGGCGGTGGCGGTGGCGGTGGTGGTGGCGGTGGCGGTGGCAGTGGTGGTGGCGGTGGTGGTGGTGGCGAAGGTGGTGCTGGGGCTGGTGTCGGGGTGCTGGTGGTTGTGGTTGTTGTTGCCGCTGCTGCTGCTGCTGCTGCTGTTGCTGCTGTTTGGTTGCTGTTGCTGCTGCTTGCTGCTGTTGCTGCTGCTGTTGCCGGTGGTGCTGTTGTTGTTGTTGTTGTTGTTGGTGGTGGTGGTGGTGGTGGTGGTGGTGTTGGTGCTGCTGGTGGTGGTGCTGGCGGCGGCGGCGACGGCGGTGGTGGTTTCGTCACCGTCGTTGTTTTTGGTTTCGTGGATTGGCTAGTTGTTTTGACACTGCCTGCTTGTATGACTCTTGTCGTGGATGCTTATTGTTATTGTTGTACAGGTTGTTGATGATGAGGATGATGTTATTGTCGTTCTGGTGATTGTTACTGACTTGCTGTTGCTGTTGCTGCTGTTTTGGTTGCTATATACTAATATTGCCGCTTCAGCTGCGGCCGCTGCTTCTGCTCCTGATTTTTGCGGTTGCCCTTCCTGAAATCATTTCCGCAACAACCCATCAGAACGGAATCATGAACAGTTATCTCGTCGGACTAACACTGCTTATTGACTTGTCCATCGTTGCTATTCTCGGCGACTGGTCCGGAGATTGGCAGCTGAAATTCTGGTCGCTGCTACCCACTGCATAAATACTGTTTTGCTGCTTGTGTTGCTGCCGTTGCTATCATTCACTGTTGGCTCGTGCAGTTGCTGTTGCTGGCCTGTTTGGTACTAGCGATTGGTCGTTGTCGAAGACCTTAAGTCTTTGGTTGTCCTCCTCGCTGTTGGTGTTGGTGTCGGGGTGGTCGTTGCTGGTGCCTCGTGTGGTGCTTCTGATTGCTTTGATTCTTAGGTTGGTGCTGTTGGTTGTTGCCACCCGCCCAGAGGAGTGGAAGGTTTTTGTCTGTAACACGAGGGGTGATGTGGTGGAGCCTGTGGCAAAAATTCCTGCCGAGCTGATGATGACGAAGGGGGACGATAACCGGTGCTGCCATTAACTAATCTTCTACAACACGAGTCAATGTTGTGTGGAGGCACGTCGTGCAGGTTTCTCCAGTGGGTTAAACACGGCGACAGCTGGAGAGGTCCAAGCCAGAAGCTGTCTAACAGAAGCACCACGACAACTCCCAAACTGCAAAAACAATCAAAGGGTGACAGCAAGATGGCCTGAAGTTGGAATCCGCTTCTGCTTGGATCCGATGCCTGAGCAAGCAGGTCGACGTTGGATCCGTACAGCTTGCCAAAACCCTTCGTCACAGAAGTAAACAGAAACAGCAGCTACCGGCCTGTGCGAAGTCGCTGACACCATTCTCTGCTATGTTATTGGGCGATCCGCAGCTGCTTCATGCGAAACACAGAGTTCGGCTTACATGTAGCACGGAAAACCGCCAGTGCAGTCAAAAGCACGCCGCTGGAGCTTCCGTGCAGATCTCTCGTGCTCCAAGAGGCGCCTGACGAAAGTGGATTGGACCTAAGCGGCAAATGCTGGCAGCAGGCTTCTGTCAGGTTTTTGGCTGGGAAACGGATGGCAGCGGTGTTCGAACGCAGTACTCAAATCTGTATGCACGGACAAATGAGGATCCGCCAAGCGCACATGGTAGCATGCCATGCACTACCCGGGAACTTCAAGACCGAGTGGTTGATGGAACCTCGAGTTCAGGCCGAAGCAGGGCAACAGTGTCGAATGCCAGAACGCTGGAGGCAGTATGGGCCCTACTGTACGTCACGCATGCATGGTTTCCACACTCGGAAAACTTCCTAGCACAGCTTACTGAGTTGTTTGGGCTATGTATGGCTACATATAGCTGAATTGGAGGATCCTTACAGAAGTGCATCTCAATTTCACTTTGAACTTCTAAACTAGCACGTACGCTCCGCCTTCTCTCGCATGCTTGCTACCTATGCTTGTGTCTCGAACCCCCCGATGGAATCAATTGCCTCTAGCCACCGCCCCCAACAACTAATGTAATTACGTGGGGGGGTCCCCCACCAACTGCTTCAGTAGCTACATATTTCGTTGCTGTTGGTTTCTCCAAGGGTCCATGACCGAAGATCTCTAACTGAGTACATTATCTCAGCTGGAAGGCTGAAAATTTTGACAGAAAACACATGTACCATTGGATTCCTACTGGGTGCGCCGGAACAGGGGGGAAATATAAACCCCCAGACATCGATGTAACTCCCTCATCCCAGTATATTAGGTCAGGGAGGAGTGGTCCTCCAGCCAACCTTGTGGCAGCCGACCACTTGCTTTTTGTCTGGCAGGCGCAATGGTTTGCTGCGAGAGCTTCCTCGGCAGTGGAAAAGCCTTCGGTGCCTTTGCAGCACCGGACAGCCTGTTCACATCTATACATATGCGGTGATGAAACAAAACTTTCGCGGGACCCTCGCGTGGCCTACCATGTCCTTGGGAATGTCGCAACGCGAAGACGTGGCTGCCACTTTCAACTCAGCGTGAGGGCACATGCCCATGAGTGCAAATCAAGTAAGGTGACTTTGCCGTTGCTTGTGCCCGCAACTCGAGAAAAATTACAGCTGGCAATGTAGGTATATGTAACATTTTGAAACCCGGGCTGTCTGCGAGCACTTAGGCATCGCAATCAAGTTGCAAGGCTCGCAGTCACAAGTAAAAAGTTAACTAGACAGAAGACAAGCCCAACTGGCTTGCCGGTACTGCGGATTCACCTGGGCTGTTAAATCTCTCACGGCATTTTGGGCACAATGCGCCCTTCTTTGCAGAGGCCATCGACCAACGAGCAATGCACCTCTCATGAAAAACATGCCGGCATGGAAGGATTGCTACCTGGCTGTCTGGCTGAAAGTCGTCTAAGCAGCACGGGCAGGTTTTCTCCATCTCTGCAGTGCTGATTGCAGTGTCTGTGCCGGAGACTTCGGTCGTCGCCAGCCATTCAACTGTGCCCTCTTTGTTTCTGATCTGCACATGCCGGTATTGCAAAGGCTGCGTCGACAGCACACTGAACTCGCAACTGGCCCACATGCAGCTACATTCCTTCGGCATCTTGGTACTGCGATCTCCTCCCGTTCGGCCACATGCTGTCGCAATGATCCCCAGGAGGAGAGCTGAGCACAGCATCACCGTCACGATTAAGCTCGGCAAACTGGCTCTGCCGGGCATGGTGATGAGCAGGATAATCACAACACCGACAAGGGAGAGGAGCGCAAGACTGATGGCCGTGATGACCGTCGCCTTCGTGTTGTACTCCGTGAAATACGACATGACACGCATCACTCGGGACATCTTTACAGTCGATCAGAAATAGAAACCGCAACGAGTTCGTTGAAAAGAAGATACAAGAAGTGAGCAGCTCGTTTGTTTTACTTTCCCTACAATATCTCTGAGTCTGAAGGCACTTGCAGATTGGAAGCCAACGTCGTGCTGCTACGCGGCTACCTCTCCTCCTTGACCCTGTAATGAGGGAAAGACAATGACGTGAGTTCTCCCTGAATCGAAGGCTCCCGTCAATTGCCAAGCCGGTTTGACTAATGCCCAAAACAAAACCTCTCGGCACAGTTCAACCACGGCTATGGCTGTGCGCCCCGCGATGTGGTCGTCCGCTCCGAGGGTCACAATCGTCGGCACTTTGAGATCCTGCCATTTCGGACACTGCCAGGATTTGCGAGTTCTGGAGTTAACTTGAGAGTATCTGCAATATCTGCCTATGGGGCACAGACGAAGCTTGGAGCTTGAAGCCGTGCCGAGGCTTTCAAGATAAACGCGCTCCTGGACTCAAGTTTTGCGAGCTCCGGTTATCATACAATCCTGCTTGCGGGTTGCCGTTGCAAAATAAGACGAGAGTTTGGCAATTTCCGGTTGCTTCCGTGCCTGCCGGGGTGTCACGGTTATTTGTGAAAACAGTTTAGTGTGAATTGCGCGTATGTGCAGCAGCCGCTATCACAAAACAGCCCCAATCGCCGCAGGAACTTCTAGTTCGACCTGCAAGGCGGGTACAGCACAGCACCTACAAAAAGATGCCCTCTGCAAAAGTCGGGCTGGACATCCAAAGCCCAACAAACACAGCGCACGTCCTCAGGCCACATGGAACTTTGCTCCCAGAAGAAATTCCGGCAAAGGAGGTTCACCGTGAACAGTTCGCCTGTGGACATGGTCGCTTGCAGCCCGCTTTGTGTCCTCGCTTGAATATCAGATCGTGCCGAGCCACGGAATGCAAAGTAGCGGATCAATATCTCAAAGGAAGTCCTCAGCCGGCAAAGCACGGAGCCACCGGCATCACAGCCTTTCGGCCCAAGAGAGCGGTGTCGGGTCTCCAACACCCGATCGTCATGCTGGCAGTCCCGCAGCGGCTGGTCATTAACCCACTGCAAGCCGAGTCACGCGGCATGGCCCCAAAGAACCCTCAGTGTGACGATGCAAAGTCTGCGCGAAGTTGCAAACAAATCCTGTTCGTGTGAGTCCTGTGACCAATCTGCCACACCTGTTGGACCTGGTGCAGCCGAGTCAGAGTCTAGCTTCAACGTTCACGAAAGAACTCTCAATCGTGCTTTGAATCAGAAGCTACGGACTGGCTGATTGTGGATCCTGTCTCAAAGCCAATTCTTCATCGGGCAGCTTTGTGAGGGCTTCTGCCTTGATGACCAAAAACTGTGCGGGCTCCATCCTTGCTGGACATTCAAGCAGCAATGCTTGCGGATGGGCGGTTCAATCCGGGGGTTCGCAAGGCCTGGGGGCCGTGGGTCCAGCCAAATCGAGAGTCTCAGATGCCCCGTAGAGTACGCAGGTGGTCTTTGGTCGGACGATGGTGGAGCTGCAAGTGGCTAGCACTGCCCTACGTATGCCTTCCACTCACTGAGTGGGTTTTGTATAACTACGGCAAACACGTCGTTCCCCTTCTCCCAGCCTTCAAAGAGCAAGCTAGAAACAGAGTGTTGGGACCGTCACGGCGGGCCTCCTCACAAGCACAGGCAAGCACGCTACTCAAGCTACCGCGAGAGGCCACGAAGCTGGAAAATGCTCTGGTGCTCAGAGCTTCAAGCATGGCCGGCCAAGTATCAAAGTGGCATAGACCACAGAACTCGGCGACATCTTCATGACCTCAAGCTAGCATTGCTTAGCATGCCCGGCATCAACTCTACGGTTGCATATAACGATCGAGCCGCTAACGCTTTCACTCCCTGGCCCGACGATGGGGCCGGGCGCAACAGTGGCCTAGAGGGAAAAACCTGAACTCTATATAGACTCGAAACAGTCCAGTAGTTCCGTTCCATGCAGCTCCTGAAGGTCCATGTTTCCGGAGTTATCCAAAGTCGGCGCTGCGGATTGCATCTCTGAGTGGATCAAAGGCCGAGGCCCAGCCGATGACGACACATCCGAAGGAGTGCCCGTGCCAGTGGGCGGCACGGTGCCCATGTGCCGCAAGCATGTCCTCCGAAGTCTTTTCAACGATGTTGAGAACTTTATTTTTGAGCGAGAAGTATGAAGTCACACCCATTCTGGCACCGCGACTGGCCCAACATGAGCACCAGTGCAGCTTCTCCGAGCGGGCTGGTAAGTTGTGTGAGTGTAATTCGATTTCTCGGGGACACTGCAAATCAAATTCGAATCCTTTTTGTTTTGCAGCGGGCTACAGAGACCTTGATTCATCAACTGGGCAGAGACGGGGAACTGACGCTCTATACGACGGCGCATGAATAAATCGATGTAGCAGTCTACATGACCTCATGTCAAAGCATGTGTTTGCGTTTAGCCAGTTGCTGCTTGTTGAAAGAAGCAGTCGGCAACCCCTGACCTTCAGATTGCTGCTTTCACCATTGATAGAGGGGTGATCAGTGATTCAGGGAGTGATAGGAATAGAGGATCAAAAGCGGAAAAATCGCTTTGAAGGCCAAGCGTGGTATTTCAAACGAGCAATTTCAATGAGGCATTTTCCGAAATCATTCAAGATTTGTGTACGGCTGCACGGGCGCATGATATTTACCGTGTTCCCAGACTCAGAGAACTGCACAAATTTGTAGACGTCTCCGTTTACCTGAACAGCTGGACGCCATGCGAACCCTAAACCCAGGAGCCCGGAACCCAGTGGCATCGGCCTGGAGCTGAGCTACGACTTCACGCGCGGAGGGGACAGACTCCCAGGGAGCCATGGCCAAGAAAGGAAACCTTGCGATACGCCGCTCGGAATGTCTCGCACCACTACTGTAGCTGCTCCACGTGCAAGGGCTTGGGATGGCTTGGGGAACCTCCTGCTTGGGATGCAGGATTCCGTCTCGGCTCAATACCTGGAACCAGGCATCGACTTGGGCAACAGGATTCCTCGAGCAAGGCCGTTGAGGCCTGGTACTTCAACATCTGGGAGACTTGGTGTCTAGACTTCCCTCCAAAACATACCAGCCTCAGCCGACATCCTGAAACCTGCAACGCTCCAAGGGGCTCTGGAACGAAAAGCTCGCCACCTGAGAGCCGCAGGGGCTTGATAGGCTTGATGCGCAGGGGCAGCTTTCTCCTGAAACGTTGGTGCAGGGTTGTCGGTCCTCACACTGTCCGCGTCTCGTGTCAGCCTTGCCATACGGATTTCATGCTCGTTCGGGGCTCTCGGAAGTCGACAGCCTCAAGGCCTTAAGGGCTCAGAGCATCTCTGACAAAACGGATATTGAGGCACTAGGCCGGGCTGTGTCGAAGACATAAAACCCCTGTGCAGGTGTGCCACTGTGCCGCTGGGACAGACGGTAGATGAACAGGAAATAGGGCACCTGTGGTCAACGCTGATGGAGCGAGGTCGTTCCGAAGGGAGTTCGAGGAAGACAACAAGGCATGATCCGATGCACAAACACACTACGACTCAACAACAAACAGGCACACCAAGGGCCATCAAGGACCTGTTTGATTGCCTGGGCTCTTAAGTTTTGATGGTGGAAGTCTGAGGATGTAACTTACAATGTGTCATACTGTTTCCGATGCAACCAATGTAACTCGATGGGGTCCTGCCCATGTTGAATCTGTTAGACAGCCCTTTCTGTCCCGGGAAACGAGGCCGACGGACTCAAGGAGCAAACTACTCCGAACCATCAAAACCATTGACCTGCGGCGCATGGATGCTTGCTGAGACTGTGGCCAGCCCCACTCCCAAGCCATGCACGAAGACCAGTGGCTCGCCCCTGCTGTCATCAATGCTACCAGCTACCACAAGCATCCGGCTTTCTGTCACTCTCTGCGTCTCTGCTTCTCCTTGGGCCTTTAGTAAAGGTCCGGTCAAATCATTTTCAGCAAGTTAACGAACCACATGCGATATTCTTCTCCAGCTTCGCGGTCACCTGAAAAACCTGCCAGATTAAGTTTGTAGTGCTGCGGCCAGGTCAACCAGAGTGGCTTGAACCAGCGGGTTCGCACATGTCTCGCTGGACACATATCTATATGGTACGCGAGGGATCTCAGATGCGATGAGATGGCGAAGACATCCGTACACCCGGAGGGGCGCAGAGATGGAACAAATCGTACACTGGACTGTCGCATCGGCGAATGCACAACCAGGGCCCGCGAAACCGGTCTACAGAAAAGCCGTCAACACAAGGGCGAAGTGAAGTTGGGATGATGGAATCACATTGCCAGCATCGTGTGTCACGTTGTCTGCGGCTTTGAACTGTTCTCTCCGTTCAATTTCGACTTGCTGACAGCTTTTTATCTTCTTCTGCTGCCATGGCAAAGTGTGAGGATTAGCCCTTTCCTTTCAAGGAATGTCCATTCAGCGGCAATGAAGCTTGAGATTCAGTTGAGATCTCTGTATATAGGCTGTAAGTCAATTTTCTCTTCGAGGTGGGATTGCTCGATTTTCCACTCAAGTTCTGTACGGCCCCTTTCGGGCTGAGCTCTCTCTCTCTCTCTCTCGCTCTCTCTCTCTCTCTTGCTTGCTTGCTTGCTTCCTTGCTTGCTCTCTCTCTCTCTCTCTCTCCCTCCTCTCTCTCGCACTCTCAATCTCTGGACACTTGTACTACGATTGGCTTGGGGAGGAACATACGACAAAAACCAGCGTCTGGCTGAAAACCTGGCTTAGCGGCAGATTTCAAACGAAAACCTGTTTGACCTGCAGCAGTTCGAAAGACACGGCATGTTGCATTGCAAGTCCAATTTTCCGACCTTGGGGCAGAGACATCGTCGCGGGGATCGACATCAGTCCGTCGAGGGCGCTTCCTGCTGAGCTTGCGTGGCAGTCTCCGTTATGGGGCTCGACCCTTTGAAAGCTTCCGGGTTGCAATTTGACGGACAATCACGCGTGGACTCGGGCTATTGAGACCATTGCAGCAACTACTGGAAAGGGCAGGGGGAACGTCTGCAACAAAGCAAGCGCAAGCTTCGGACCAGAGGTTGACATCTCCCCCGGATGATAAGGCAGCAAAGGCTCCAGTAGCACAGCCCTCCGGAGCGCTCCCGATGGAATCCAAGCCTTGAGAGATGCCACAGCGATCAAGAACAAACTGCTTAGCGGACCGGATATTGCAGTCTGCACGCAGGTCTCAGTAAGCTTGAAATTGGGCATGGACCTGTCTCCTTCGGCAGACCTATGCACTCTTTTGAACGGGCAATGCTCAAAAATGCATTGTATTGTTTCTTATTCCGGTGTGATGCGGTTTTCGCCCCCAGAATGCTCTGTCCGAATGCCTAAGGCTGTGAGGCCTTGAACTTCTGCTTCGAAGATGGGATAATATCCTGCTGGACACAACCTTCAGTTTCGAGCCTGTAGCTTGACCACATGCCTGCCCAACATCTGCAGTGCGACGATCTTTTGTTCAAGAAATATGTAGTCCAAGCTGCCACTGCATCACCTCGGCTCTCTTGTGACACGTCCATGCAAGCAGAAACAGGCTCTGTTCAACAGGTGTGGAATTGGAAAGGGTGAGAATCCTTCCCTAGCAGTCACACTTTTCGCTTCTTCTTCTTCTTTGGGCAGCTCTCGCTTACATTGCTGAGGACAGCGAAGTACTGACTGAGGCCTCTTGCGTTGTGGCTGCGGAGGGTGGGGATATCTGGGGGGCTGCGCTTCGGAATGAAGTCGGGCACCTTGTAGGAGATCAGCGGGCACAGCAGTGAAGTCCCAGCGTAGACAAGCAGTGGCCGATGCACCACAGGCAGCGGGTCCTTGTTTGAGGCTGTGACATTGAGAAGAGGAGCTCTGGTAGCCTTATGAATCCCAGTAAGCTGCGGCACTGTTCCTGGTGCTGGAAGTAGCCGTCTGCGTGGTGGTAGTAGTGGGCGCCGTCGTCGCGTCGTGGCAGTAGCGCTAGCAGCAGCAGCAGCAGCAGCAGCAGCAGCAGCAGCAGGAGGGGGAGCAGGAGCAGGAGTAGTAGTAGTTGAGTGAGGACTTGGTCTCGATCATGGGCTCTACACCTTGATTTCAGTTCATGACTCCTGACACAAGGAGCACCGTTTCCGAGCTTTGGCGTGCTGGCCAGCTCCGCATTGATTTCGAGCCAAGTCTCGGAAAACACGCGGTAGGCCTGCACATCTGGGTTCCGGCCCTGCAGGGACTGATCGTTAAAGTCATCTGCACAGCACATCCACCATCTTGGCTCCCCGAATTGCTGTCTTCTGTCAAGTTTCAGATGCTGAAGTACCGGTGACAAGAACACCATCTCGTCCCTGCAGGTTTTGCTCCTCTCGCACCGCCGACGACACGAGGCGACTACGGACCCCCGAACCCGTGCAATTTGGAACTACACATTCGCAATGGCCCCATGCCTGAGCGCAGCGGCTTGCACAGTTTTAAAGTGACTCAGGTGAATACTGGTGCAATGGAAGAAACGCCTGTGCTTGTTCCCCGATTGTATATTCCATTTCAGCAAAGGGCCGCCAACGCGCCGGCCTCACGCATGTTCTGCAGCCCAGAGGTCTGCAGGACCAGCTCCGCTAAGCAACGAAGCTCCTGTGAGGGGGCCAGCAGTCGAAGGAAAATCTGTCAGGCTCTGGCCAAACGTGGTTTGAGAAAGGAGACGTTTCAAAAAGGAGACTCTACCTCGGGTATTAGAGATGCATGCATGTGACGCGACCGTTTAAAGCCAAACCTCTTGAACGCAGTCCGGAACCGTCAACAGCGGTGCCGTGTACATGTGAAACCGAGCTTTGGAGTTCACAGGGTTGCATAAGCAGGCCTGCATCAAGACCATCATTCGGGCCTTTGTCAATTTATGTGGTCGCAAGTTCGTGGCTGCAGTGTGCTAGTAACTAGTAGATCATGGTATTTCTACACGGGCCCGGCTGGCACAAGACCCAAGCTTTTTACGTGCGGCGCCAATGAAGGCTTCAGCTCTCCATACCCCGCACGGGATTTAGCAGGCGCGTAAAGGAAAATCGGCGGAAACAAAGCATTCATTGCAGGTTGCTGGGGATTTAACCCGCTGTTGATGGATAGACCGGCTTCATGCTCTGATGCAATTTGGCTTCAGACGCCCATACGGTATACTATATTTGTCAACCGAGGATTCATGAATCACGGACCTTCTCGCTTGGAACCTCAACAGTGTCCGCATGATTCCGTGTGCACCGCAGCATCTGGATGACGCTTCCAGGCCAAAGTTCTGAGTAGCTCCTATGAAAACCTTTTCCGGAACACAGGACGACAAACAAGTAAGTGTCTCAACCGATACGTGCACGACCTCGCACTGGCTCGGTGTGACTTCACGGCTTGCCTCAATCGCCAGGCCTCCAAGAGAAACCCAACTTGCAATTGAAAGTGACATCTCGAAGAAAGGATGTTGGACACAGGAAAGACACCTTGAGGGAGGGATCAGCCAACACCTTCGAAATCGTTCGAAGAGAACGTCGGGTGACCACGTAGCAGCTATCCGTATACGAGGGACGAAGTTGAGAGAGTAGGGCTGTGAGAGAGACAAAGGAGAACTGAATATTTCTATGACCACTGAAGGGAGACATCAGACGAACTCGAATGAAAGAGAGGAAGGAGGAGAGAGAGAGAGAGAGAGAGAGACAGAGACAGAGACAGAGACAGAGAGAGAGAGAGAGAGAGAATCGCATCAAGCAAACAGTAGAAATGCAAGGTGAGAACCTAGAAAAAACGACACATGAATCTGCCAACCCAGTAATCAAGAGCCTCGGACGGGTGTAATTAATTGTGGAAAAGACTGGTCCAAGCTAGACAGACAAACCCGAAACAACCGAAAGGAGTCGTGGATAAGACATACAACTACCATACAGCGACAGCCCGTCTCCCAAGCGAGTTCCCGCGGTCTGGGCAGACCCATGCATCAAGAAACTCTTGTGATCTCGTGTCCCTCCTGGAACTGTTCTGGGCTGTCTTTCCGCAGCTCGTCTGGCGTGGCTCCGCGAAACCAGTAGTGGGCAATCCAGTCCTTCCGTGAAAGGACCGGGCGCAAAAACAAGCTACGTGGAATACCTGTCTTCTTCATCTGAAGACTTATTGGAGCCTGCACATTGTCACGCTGCAACCAGTTCAGGATGTCATCTGCATCCCCCCGCCCTTGGCCGTGGAAAAAGGTGGCAAGCTCGTGCCAGCGAAGCCTGCGCTTGCAGGCAATTCATGTGAAAACGCGGAGAGATTCAAAGGCGAAGGGTCGGATTCAGGTTGACAGCTACTGGAGCGCAGTGGAGTTCGAAAGCAACACGGAAGCTGGAGCCGGTAAAGACACATACGTATCCTGACGCAGCATCCGAATCCATGTTTGTGTGTGTGGGATCGTGTGCTTCTTGATGAACTTGATGCAGCATTGCGTCCGCTGGCATCGAACCGAGATACTCTGTGGCACATGGTGGGACGGACTATCTGACTTTCGCTGGATGTCGGCCACCTGAACCTGACATAAATGCAGCCAATTTCACCCTGCACTCACAAAGCTGTGGCTAAACTCGTCTCGAGGCTGCCAGAAGACAGCGCTGACTCTCGAAACCTATATTGTGACCGGGCATGCATCACAATGAACAACAGCCTCTGAAGTTCCTCCTCGAGGTTTCCGTGGGAGCCCTCCATATGCTTCCTCGGCTTGGAGGTTCAGCTGGTCGTCTTAGGGCATTCTCGACTTTGTAGAAATCCAGGCGTTTGAGCTTCTGTGCCGGAGTGGAATCGTTCATGGTCTAAGTGCGTGTGACCTAGTCTGACGTCTGCATGCCAAGCCGCAACAAATCCTCAACGCTTTCTTGTGGCCTGCAACATGATCTTCCAGCTTCAGCTGAAATCGCGATAACCTTGCCTTCAAATCTCGCACTTTCAAGAATCCCGTCTGCCTGTTTACAGGGCAGGGCCAAACAAGAGCACATATTTGAGCCCCCGCTAAACGCTTGGTGCCTCACTGCGGCACCAAGCCCAAGGAAGCTTCCACTCCGAGCGAGGGTCCCGGACGACCTGCCAGTTCTCGATTCATCGAGGCTACTGAGCGGCTACTGTGTTTCCACTGTATTGACATCTTGGACTGCTATTCTACAATACGAAGACGCTCAACGAGTACTCCTGCAACAGCAACAGCACTAGTAGCAGCAGCAGGAGCAACACGAACACCAGCAAAACACGAACACCCCCCACCAACAACAGCGAAAACAACACAAGCAACAACGACAACACCGACACCACCACCACCACCACCGCCGCCACCACCACTACCACGACAACAACAACTACTATACTATACTATACTATACTACACTACATTACACTATACTATACTATACTATACTACACCATACTATACTATACTATACTATACTATAACTACTACTACTACTACTACTACTACTACTACTACTACTACTACTACTACTACTAGTACTACTACTAGTACTACTACTAGTACTACTACTAGTACTAGTACTAGTACTAGTACTAGTACTACTACTACTACTACTACTACTACTACTACTACTACTACTACTACTACTACTACTACTACTACTACTACCTACGCCCTCCAAAACCCATTATAAAGCAGGTTGGTGGAAATAACCAGGTTTTGTAGGAGGAAACCGGGTTTTGGGTTTTCGGGGATTCAGACATAAGACATGAATGACATGATGCATGAATCTCGACTTGAAAGCTCCTGCAAACTTCTGATGTGTGCCTCTTTTTCGGCTTCATGCACACCTTCGTCGTGGTCGATGACCACACGCAGCGGGCTTAGAGGGCATCCCTATGGAAGTTCTTGCCTGTTGGTTTTTATCACTGCACCACATACCATGTAGAAATTCGCGTCAAATAAGATCAATTAATATATTAGTATATACTTCATCGATCAGGCATGGAACTGGCTTGGGATCAGATACCCTGCTTCTACGAATTTGGCGTAGGATGCGGCTAGTGTCCTCTCTAGAGTCCTACGAATTACTTGCTGAGGGGCGACCCGCCGCGATGTGCGGCTGGGCCGCCCAATATAGTCTTCTTCGATTTGGCAACAGAAGACACAAATATTGAGGGTCCACTCGGACAACTGTGCTTGATCCCATAAGATGTAAAATAAATGGTGAAGCCGGTGGAGGTTTGGGGTCATCAAAAACAGCGGGCGCCCACTGTTGTAAGATAGACGGGCAGAATGGCCGAGGTAGCGAAGAAATCTGAAGCCGTGCCTGGAAATCTCCAAAGACTTGGTATGCCAGATCCAAACAGCTTCTTTGTAGCTCTTGCTGAGAAAGGAATTGATCTCTCGAGCCGCGAGACAAGCGTATTGAAGAATTGATCCCTCGTCAATCAAATGTGCATGCCGAGCACACGCACTAAGAAACCAGCGCAAAACACATGTCGACGTGGATCCTTTGCTCCAGCTCGCAGTCGGGTTGTCTGCTGCACTAGGCCAGCCAACTGTTTCGCGCGAGATTTTCCTGATCAGAGGGTTTTGCTTGTGCCGCTTGCACCACGACAGAAAGTCAGAAGACATGGCTTCGAATCGTGCTGGTATGCTTCTTCCCGGGAATATTTCATGCAAGAGGACCAAACATGAAGCGAGGAACTGCTTGGCCGCACCTAAGTGAAAGCCGTGGAAGATATCTTGTCCCAGGAATGCGGTTTCATCCGTAGGATCCTTTGGCAGCGACCACAAACTCGGAGAGCCCCGATACGCTCTTTCTTGATTGATGGTCTCACGCCAGGCTGGAGAGGCCGAAACAAAATCTTCAAACGGATAATTCTCCATATCGGCCTTGCAGCAATGACAGATCCCCTTCGGCGCGGACTTCGAAGACTCCTGCTTGGAGCAGTTCTGGAAATTTCGCAGTAGTCCGAAGGCCTTTGTCAACCAAGGCCAATCCCCGATGACATTCAATATCACGAAATGATATACTTCACCAGTCACTGCTTTGATGCCTTTCTCGTAAATTTGGAGAACTCCAAAGTCCTGCACGAAAACATCGAGGTAATCCTGGAAGAACCGATCACCGTCGTCACACTCGTAGTAGGTTTTAGGAAGGCAGCCGAGAATCCAGCGGGTAGATAAGGTGTGGCGAGTCAGGTTGAGGTACTGTTTGCAGAATGGCTCGGGGTGTGCATCTGCTGCTGCATTGCTGCCATAACCTAGTATCGAGTGACATGACACTACAAGGATGGCCGACTTCTTCTTCGTGCGGCCCTCATCCCCATGCAAAATCAGGCCAACCGTCCTTGACAAATCAACCTCTCCTGCAGCTGCTCTGCGGAATATATCATGGTGCGGGTGGATCTTCTGATATCGGGACCAGAAACACTTCCAGGTCGAGTGACACCTTGTGAGGTCGGGGTGGGTTAGCCCAGACAGTGTATGCAGGAGGTTCCGACCCAGCAAAAACGTGAGCCATGCACTGAGCAAAATCAAGGGAACTGGCCATCCATGAAGCATGACTTCAGTAATCCTGATGGGTAGCGTCAGCCGGCACCGTCTGGCAACTCTGTGGGCGTCACGCTCGCTGTTGTTTTCTTTGCACCCAGCCATAATCCTGATGCTGGAGCCCACAGCCTCTGGCACTTCTTCAAGCACCGCACGGGCAGCTCGAATCGCAGAGGTGACCGGGGCCTCGGCACAGCACGTGCGGCGTGGGTTTGGGTGCAGTCATGCAGTGCATGCAACAGATCGAACGTCAATAACGAAATTCCAGACAGTGACTCATCATAGACAAACAGTCGATCTGAACTACACAAGCACAAACAAGCTAGTGTTTTACACTCACAGATGTCTTGCCTGATGTGTCTAGACACGACGGCACACATGAGCAGAATCGCATCGAGGCAGACTCGTCTTTTCCATTGATCGGGAAACCTCCATGGAATCACGTGGCCGTCCCGTACTTTTCTAATTAAAGCATTGCTCAAGCAGCTTCGATTTCAGCTGCTTGCATGATCCAGTGCATATGTGGATTGCGATTGAATTGTGCAGCAAGAAGTTCACATGCTCACCGTGTCACATGGCTTGTGCTTCAAGCTCCGGTACACAACATATGTCATGTGTACAGCCGGCAATGCATCATCTTTGCTCAGGTTGTCTCCGCCGAGCCGAATGTTTCGACATCCAGGCACACCTTGGCTGGTTGGAAATCACGAGAAATCATAATAATAGCCGCAGGTGTAAAAGGATATAGGCATATGGGTTGGTTAGCGGGATTGATAGAGCATGGTTCTCAACACCGGCCAGGGAACTGCTGTATTTCTCTATGAGCGCAGCTTCCAGCATTGCTGGGGAGAATTTCTCGGGGCATAGAAATAATACTACCATGCCTTCCCAATGATCCCTCTCGTGCACATAGCCGTATTCCGGACACTCCCATCGCCTAACTGCATCATGGGTCATTCCAATCTTGAACAGCATTGGCGACAATCTGGTCTGCAAAGAGTCTATGGTTTTGATCGCATGACGAAGAACACCTCCGGCTGTTCGAGCACGGACGGGTAACCTCCAACAGACTTTGTCATGAGCATCAACTCGCTTAAGTACGTCCCTGATTGTAGGAAGGATGAGCACTTCTTCAGGGAGGTCTGCATCTTTCCAAGAAGATTGAGTTCTGCGGAATAGGGTGGAAGCTACAGTATTGCAGGGCACTTTGTTATCAGCACCGAGCCGAGAATACTGCTCTTGCTGACAGCCACTTCGATTCGAGGTAGATGCCGGGCTCATCCATGGAAACGGACCATCTTTTTCCTGGGATGCTTATGTGCAGAAATCTGTTTGCTTCTGGGCTGGGGTGAAAGCATTGTTCAGCCGAGATTGCAAACCAGTGGCACTTCTATGACACGTTAGCAAATCCCACAGCTCGTCATCTGCATCTTCGTAAGACACCGAGCACGCCATCGGACGAAACCTCTCTGAAATCTACATTCTAGCCGGCACTTGCAAAAGTCTGAGCCACGGAAGCATGCCACAACAAGCCGGGTCCAGACAAATCAAGCCCACAGCATCAAGTAGCAATTCCGAGTGAAGCCCGGCTAGGTCGGGGGCCCCATCACCGATGTCCTGGATCCATCTTCGCAAAGCTGGGCCTGCAGCACCTGGCATGCATCGCGGGGTTTTCTGTTGGTGGATTTGAAAATTTGCTCGAACATGATGGGCTGAATCCTTCTTAGCATTATTTGGGGATCGGGTTTCATTTCGGGTTAGCTTATTCGGGATTTGGCATTCACCGCATGCATGCAGGCAGAGCTATTGGTTTTCTTTCGGAGTGCGCACAAAGAGCCTTTCCCCGGCCCGTGAGCATAGCTAGCTTCGAACTGAGAGTTCACTCGACTTCTAGAAAGCCGAACAAGAAAACGAGATTGCGCACACGACCATGCACCCGGCCCTTGGCTGCTGTCTTTGACCCCAAAACACACAACAAGACCTTTTTATCTTGTATATGGTATAACATATTAGCTGCGATTATGGGTCTGTACAGATATGAAGCCACTATAACCGTAGGGTGTATAAAACTGCAAAGACAGATTGTGGTATATGCGGCGCATAAGCCACACCAGGCTCTTCGACGTCAAGCAGCTAGGAGCTTACGGGGTTCAACCAAGCACTTCTGCACATACATAAATTAGAGTGTGCGAAACAACACAAGTGGAAGAGCTCAGGCAGAGGCACGATCAGTGTGAAACATGAACCTCGCTACATCCAAGGGCTACCGACGAATCTAGTGGAAACATCGATCGCACAGTGCCTGCTGTGTAGCAGACGAGTGATCCGTCCCGATAAAACATCAGGATCTCCTCCTGCGCTTCGCCGGCGCCTCTTTTGCCTTGGCCTTGGCCACAGCCACTTGGCAGCAGCCACTTCAGGAGCAGCTTTCCCATCCTTCTCCATGTGTTTCTTCGCATTCCTGCATGGTTTTGTTTTGCATATAGGGCTTTTGGGGGTTTTCGAGGGTTAGGGGTATGTTTGTAATTATATTAAAGTCTATATATGTATCGTAATATTGAGGGCTTTTTTTTGGGCATGTGCTCTATACATATACATATGGATATACACATATGTACTTACCATATATGGGATTGGTGTATATAAGGGTCTTACTGGGTTTAGAGGGTTTGGGAGCTTGTAGTTTTGGGCTTGTTGGAGCATCTGGGTTTTTCATTGACGGTCCTCGCACGAAGATCGCCGGCTGTGGCTCGGCTAGACCTGAGGCGGTAGTATGCAGGTATGGAACCAGGTAACATCGTAGCACTGTGCCCAGGAAATTGCACTCTCCAAACCCAATCCCCAAAGCCCAAAACCTTATTGTAATGTCTATGGCAACTTGCAGGGCCTTTATGTGTGTATACATGCATGTATATACACACACACAAAACCTAAATGAAAGACATGAATAGCCTTCCATATATACACATATATACCTAGCTTCGACAAGTAACATACAAGCCCACAAACTACATAATTCGAAACCAAATAACAGCGTAATCACATAAACGGACCCATGACTTAGACACTTCCGGTGATCTCAGGGATGGGCACATAGGTGGCGTTCTTCATCAATGGCTCGGCCGTCTTCCACCATCTAAGCTTGCAAGCACTGCACTCGCAATCCCGCAAACCCCAACATCATGGCCCCGAGCACGAGAATGAACCCCAATAAGGCCCGGTCTCTGAGTTGAAGCCACTAATCTCCGCTTGTGCCCAATGCAAGTTGAGCTTGTCATGCTCCTTCTCCAATTTCGTGATGCCATCCTCCAAGGCCTTGACATGCCTGGAAGCGCGAGCTTCGCTGTTCAAGGCCACATCTTGATTGAGCAAATTAGTTTAGCCACAGGTACAACAGAAAGGCACGCTAGTCACACTGGGGTTCGAACTCAGTCATCTCCGTGGCCTTGGAATAATTTTTGGTCAAATCCTTGACCAAGGCCCGGAGTTTGGAACTCTTGCTCAGGAGGCCCTCCATGAATTTCCAGAAGATGGCTTTTTGCTGAGGGCATCAGGGCGGAACGGAATCATACAGCAGCACTGTCTATAGGGGTGACATCTTGGTTTGCAAATAGCATGCAGGCCTCACCCTCAGACTTCTTGGCATCTCCACTCCCATCAGGTCCTGCCGGCTCCGGGAGAACCCGCTTGGTCATGTTGTCGAAGCCAGCGAAAGCATCCTTGGGCAGTTCCACGGGGTTGGCAGCCTCGGTAGTATCGTGTACACATGAAAGTTCACAGATCTTTCTTGAAATTCTAGCTTGAGGAATTGCATGAGTGTCGACCGATCAAGTACTGAAGTCAGTTTTTCTTCAAGTTACTATGCAGCAAAATAGAGCTCATGAAGGAGTCTGCAGTGGAGGGGCTTCACTCCTGCTCCTCTGAATCTCCTCCTCCTTCAGGTTCTCGACATGCCGGCCCGTTTCCCTGACCGTCACCCAGTACTCCAGGACGCCGTCGTAGACGTTCCTCCTGCAGCCACAGGTATATAAGTGGGATGGATCAGGACAGTTCATCGGTGATTGCACGCAAGAACAGTAGATGTGTGCCTTATCAAGAGGGACGGGTTCTTCTCGCAATGGGCCACTGCGGCGGCGATCCTTTGCCTTGATCATCGGACCCCACAAACCCCATGAAGGTATTGTCCATAAGTGTTCCGTGTAATGTAACGGTCCGTTTAGGAATATGGGCTCTTTTAATGCGTCGGCTCCGGGGCTAATTCCGAATCTGACAAAAAAATTGGCTTGTTCTAATTAATGCGTTTTTTTTGGCTGGGGTGATTTTTTGGTGGCGGGGCTGTGCTATTTGCTGATGGTCAATCTTAAGGCAGCCACGACCTAAACCCCCACCCAAACCCCCACCCAACCCTAAAACCCTGGCCCTGAAGCCCGGAAATCTCTTGCAGAATTGTTTCGCTTATTGGGGCGTCAGGAATGAAAATCTGTACTACTACTGTACTACTACTGTACTACTATTCTACTATACCTTGATTATTGGGGGGGGCTGCTAGGGTGAACCGCCGAATCGGGGATTGGACCCTAGCTCAAAAGAGGCCTCTCCAGTACTAAAGTTTGTATAAAAAATTAAGTTTTGGGTCGAATCTGGACCGACCCCCCTTTGGAAGGGTTTAGGGCTTAGGGTTCAGGGTTTGTTATAGGGTTTAGGAGTGTAGGATTCTTTAGGGTTTTTTTTGCTAGTGCCCTGCGCGCTTTTCCGCAGCGCGCTTCGGCGCTCGCTCAAAGGAACTCTTCAGGTCTCGATTAATGGAGGCATATACCAGGTGTGGTCCTAGAATTCCTTTACCAGGGTTTTGGGTCCAATGGTTCTTAAAATGCCTTTGCGTTGTGATCTCGATCCAATAAGGCATTTTCATCCCTCTACGTCTGCCGGTAACGACTATTCTATCCTTGTAAGCAGCGGTAAACACTACATTGTGGAATGGATCTGAAATGTCGCTAGCGTAGAGTGTCTGCAGGAGCTTAAGCTGGGCGTTGTGGAGGAAGCTTGAGGGTTTTCTCGGGTTGTTGGCTGTTCTCCAAACTGTTTGGTTAGAGATTCTGGAGTAGTATGATGCTTTGATATTAACCACTCGTCGCAGGAATCGGAAGTAGTAGGCATCTACTCTGTCTATTTGCTTGTCTGTGAGGGTGAGAGTGTCGAGGCCGTAGGTTAAGGTGGGGATAAAGACAGACTGGAATATGCGGAGTTTGGTCTTACGAGGCAAGGAGCTGTTCCAAACAAGCCGGAGTTTCTTGTAGCTGGTTTCTGCTACCGCTGCTCTATGTCTAAATGCGGCTTCAAAAGGTTTTTCCCAGGCTATCATCGATCCTAAGTACTTAATTTGCGTTGTGGTCGGAACTGTTTCGCCGTTTTCGAAAGTAAGTTTGGGTTGTGGTCTTCGAGGATCCACGAGAAGTTCTGTTTTTTCTTTATTCAAATGCATCCCATGGAGCCTAGAACATCTTTCCAGCGAGTGCAAGATTTCTGAGAGTTGCGTTGTGGTCCTGGCGATAAGAAGCGTATCGTCCGCATACTCTAGATCTGAGGTGGGGCGGGTGGCCGACCAAGTATTCCTAGCTATTCCTCTACTTGCCAGATCCCAATCAACATCTTCCAAAATTACTGTAAGTACCATGATGAACAAATACGGGCTGAGGGGGCATCCCTGCCGAATTCCCGCTCCTACCTTACCTTTGGCGTTGTGGTCGTCAATTCCTTTGGTGATAAAGGTGGGATCCTTATAAATCGAGGAGATTACTGCTAGAGATTTGTTGGGCAACCCGAAGCGCTGCAAAGCAATCAACATGGCGTTGTGGTCAAGTGAGTCGAATGCTTGTTTCCAATCCAGAAAAAGGTAATATAAGGGATTGTTGGTCATTTCCGCCCATTCCATTGATCGTCTCAAAACAAATAGTGGTTGTTGCGTTCCGCGGTGTGATCTGAAACCATACTGTGTACTGCGCAAGTTCTTCTCGTGAGTTGTGGCAAGTCTGGTTTGCAACATTGCGGCGAAGATTTTGTAGATTGTGTTGAGAAGTGAGATGGGGCGATAATTGGCAGGGTCAGTGTCCTTGCCTTTGCCTTTGTAGATTGAAACCACTATGGCCTCTTTCCATTCTTCTGGAACTTCCTCGTCCCATATCTTGTTGTAAAATTCTAGAAGTAGTTTTTGATTCTCATCGTCTAAGAGAAGAAAGAGTTCGTTGGCGGTTTGGTCTGGTCCTGGTGCCTTGCGCTTCCTGAGCTTGTTGATCGCTGATTGGAGGTCCTCAAGTAAGAAGGGAGACTCGTCAGGTGAAGGAGGGCGTAGTGCGCGTTTTGAATTTAAGGCTTTTGATCTTTCTGTGGCGTCCTCGTGTGCCGCCCATTGGGTATTCTGCAGATGGTCTCGAAAGGCTTGGTGAGTCTTGCTCCAGGGGACTGGTTTATTATCCACCACAAGGTGAGATTTTTTGCCTCTAAAGCCTGCCTTCTGGCGACGGACTGTGCTCCATAATCCTCTGTGTTCTGCGCTTGGGTCCTCCACTAATTGATCGTGAACCCACTTAACTTTGTCTTTTCTTGCGGATCGTTTGGCAACGTTGCGCTTGTGCTTTGCGTTGTGGTCTCCCTGCGCTTCCGCAGCACGTGCGTCCTGTAGAAGGTTGAGGGTAGATTCCGTGATCCACGGCGTGCGTCGTCTGCGCGTTTCGTTTGCAAAGGTTTGCGCAGCCGCTTCTTTTAGGACCTCTGTAAAAGCGTCCTCCCGGATTGGCGTTGTGGTGGTGGTGACTTCTGGTTGCTGCGCTGTGGTGCCTTGACGGTCCTTAGCCTTGCGTCCCTGATTAGAGAGCTTATCCGCTCTCTCGTTGCCTTCGTTGCCTTTGTGCGCTCTGATCCAATGGAAGGTGACACGCATGGGCGCGATTTTGCAAAGGTGTTTCGCCATGTTCACAAGCGTTTTGTTGCGTTGCGCCCGCCACTTGCCTGTGATGACGTTCTTGGACCATTGGCTGTCGGTGTGGATATGAACGTTGTGATACGAGTGTTGGTGGGCGTGGAGCAAAGCCTCCACGATAGCTGATACCTCCCCAGTGTTATTTGAGCCTACGCCTGCTCCCCTATACGCGTTGTGATCGGGGTCTGTGATTACAGGTCCGTAAGCATCTTCCCATCCTTCTGAAGTACGCCTACACCAACCCCATCCGGCTGAGGTGTGTTTAGAACATCTACCCGAAGAACCTGATCCATCCGTAAAGTAGTGTATTGGAGCGGTGTGGTCTGGAGGGGGAAGGTTTCGTTCTGGGGGGTTTTCCTGTATAAGTTCTCCGAAGATGGCGTTAAACTCCTGTTTTTCCTGTTCTGTAGGATTGTGTAGCTCAAGCTTTGGGGTGCGAGGGGGGCGTTGTGGTTTGGCTGCTAGGCGAACCTTAATCTCCGAAACCACCAGGTAGTGATCCGTGGGAAAACCCGTGTATAGCTTGGATCTGCATTGGTGTACAGAATTAAGCCATTGTTTTCGAACGAACAAATGATCCAACCTCTGAAAACGAAGCGGGTCAATCTGCGGTGTTGTCTTGGGTGGGGGAAGTAGGTCCGGGAGATCCAGAAAAGATCTTACCGTAGCTGCCGTGGAAAGAGCAAGATCCTTGTCAGGGTCCAGTTTACGGTGCAGCATGGTGTATATCTGTTGCATGGGGAGAGGGTCCAATACAAACTGTGACCAGTCCGGGGGTGGAGCTGCTTTATCTTTGTAGGTGATGTGATGGATGGGGTTAGGCGTGATCCAAGAGGCCGCCTCCACCATACCTAGAAGTTGCATGGTTCGAACACACAGCGATCTGTTGGACTGCGCGTTGTGGTCAATGAACCTAGAACCTTTACCGTACGTAAATGGACCTGTGACGCCTTCATCATTAGCATGTTGGGCCTGAAACCTAACATTGAAATCGCCTACTAGATAGACCGGTTCGGGTTGGGGAATTTTGGCAATGTGTTCCTCGAGGCTATCCCAAAATGGGACCCGTACCTCTTCATATTCCAGTCCTGAGTGTGGGGCATATGCTCCTACAATGTGAATGTTACCGCCCTTTTTCCGAAAAGTCAAATGAAGCAATCTAGTAGAAACCTGCAACACATCTAAAAGGTGTGGTCGAAGATGCGGCGCAATGATTGCACCCACTCCTGCATACCTGTCCTTTGTGTTGCCCGAAAGTATCACCAAATGCTTTTCTGACTGATACGAATAGTAAGACGTGGTTTTAGTTTCGGATAACATAAGAACATCAAGCTTATGCTCCTGCATCATAAGAATGGCGTTCTTAAGCTTTAGGGTGTCCGCGAAACCCTGAACATTGATCGAACCTACCTTTATCTTACTATCATACGGGAGAGGCGGTGTGGTCGGATGCTTGACCGACTTTTTCTTTTTATTTCTTTTCAACTGGTCCTGCCAGTGAATGTTTTGCTTGAACCATTGGGCCCTGGTAAGGGCGGCGTGTTGGGGCTGAGACGGGGCAAGGTGGGGAGGGCCCGGCTCCTTCACCTGTACCTTTGTACCTCCTCGCATCCAGCGGCGATACGCCCTGCGGCGCACCGCGCGTCCCGGACCCCGCTCGGAGGTTTGTGCCCGCGTCTTGTTCGGGTTAAACTCTTCGTCCCTCCCTGGGGGAGGTCCCGGCGCGCCTCGTGGAGGCGGTTTTCGGCGTGTGTGTGAATTAATTGGGAGCTGAATTACTGAATTTAGGCGGTGTGGTCGTGGTTTCTTAGAAATCACAACTACTCCATCGCGCGTTCTGATTTTAATTCGCCTACCTGTTCGGGAGGGCTTGGGCTTGTTGGGGGTGAAAGCTTGCGTTGTGATCGGTACGTACGGACACGACCCTTCTTCTTTTGTCTGTCGGCACTGCAGCAAGAAACTTCTACTGTAACCTTGCGCTTGCGACTGGGATTCCTGAGGTCTCTGTTCCAGAAGCTTTGCTATCGAGATTGTGGTTCTGTTGCTCGGGATAAGATCTGCTAGTGAAAGGACAGTGTTACCGTTGACTATATGCATAAGCTTATTTCGCTTTTTGGAAGTAAGCTGATTTGGGCTATCGGGTGAGCCTAGGGCGTTGTAATCGAGACCTGAGAAACATGCAAATTCGGAGAGAGGGGCGGTGTGGTCCTCCGGGATTTTCCCAAAGTACCACGAAGCCCGATTGCAGGACAAGGGCGAGCACTCAAAAATTTCAAAAGGTGCTGCAAGCTCCTTGTCGGGAAAGCTCAACCCAAAAGCCTGCAGGCAAAGGCGTTGTGGGCCGAGCGGGGCCACGAAAATTCGGGAACCAAAACTTCAGGATCCTTTACCCTTCCCACCCTTTGTCTGCGGTGTGGTCGGGGCTGGGGCTTGCGCCGGCGTGGCTGTGGAAGCCGCTGGCGTGGCGCCGAAACTTGCAAAGTCCGTGGCGGTGTGGTCGGATCGGAGCTCAGCCCCTATCCCCACTGGTGGGCGGCCCTGTACAGTGGCCACTTCGTAGTCACCCACCTTGCGGTCTTCTTTTCTGTACTTATCACAGAACTCATCCCATGAAAAATAGACCGCTTCCACAACTTGAAAATGCAGCTCGAATGGATACGGAGAGTAAGCACTAGTATGCACCGCGGCCGAAGACCAGTGCCTTTAGCCCTTTCCTTTCTGAAGGCCCTTTCCAGAAAGGACTGCATCCTTTTTGGCACTCGAAAAGGCTTCGGCATCCATTCGATCGAGCTCAGCATGATTCCCCCACATCGTTTGGTACCACTGCTCTTCCCAAAGCGATGTGGTCTTGGAATCGGACTCCGAAGGTGGGCCATTCAAAATTGTGAGGAGAGCCGGAACAACCTCAAGCCTGCAAACAAACTCGCCTGCCTCCTGGCCATAGTGAAGCCTTGCCCAGGCGGTCTGGTCCTCGTGAAATTCAGCGTCTTGCTGAGGAGCCAGAATCGTGAGGGTCTTCCACAAAATGGTGAGACGGGAGGAGGCGTTGTGTTCCGGGTGTTTGTTCACACAATTTAAAATAACACGCAACGGCGCCTCTAGCTTGCGCTGCCACTGCGGACTGCAAGGTGCCACCTTCAGATGCTTGTTGTGAATGGGGGTGCTCTCGTCCTTATAGACTGGCACCCCGGAACTTCCACCGTAGTGGTTCAAAAAAGCAGACCGCGTGTCCCAACTCTTAAAGCTGAGAAAGGTCATGCTGGAATAGAACCCCTCCGACTGAGGCACTGTGGTCGGTTCTTGGGCGAAAACGTTCATGTGCCTTTCCAGCTCCGAGGCGTTGTGGTCGGAGACATAGCCCCTCATCTTCAGAAAGGTCACCAAGGAAGGGACTTGCGAAACCATCCACGAGATCATATACACTCGTTCTGCAGGCTTCAGAGCATTCGGCCATCCTGTGGTCAAGAGCTGGAGACCACAGGCATGTTTCTGCAAAAGCCTGTTCTCCGAAGCCATCCATGCGACCTCCTTTTTGACTGAAAGCAGCGATCATCTACTGCCTTCAGGCCCGCTTCCAGCTGGCAAACCAAAGAGTAGTACTCTGGCCGGATCACTTTTTCATGGTATGCACGAACCATGTTGAAGATCTCGGCATTGTTGGTTGGCTGCCTTTGGCCCCAGGCCTGGACGGCGTTTTGGTCGTTGATGTTGACTCCCAAGCTGCCTAAGGTAACTTCCAAGGCGGCCTGGTCCTGCAGAGAAAAAGGCGTAAGCAAATTACGCTCTTCCGGTGGCTCTGCGTGCTCCTCAGCCTCCCTCATAACCTCATCTGCCACGGAGTCTTCCTGCGGTGTGGTCAAGCCGCTTTGCACCGGAGTGGGTGCAGTACGCTTGACCCGCGGCGGGCCGAAAAAAGCGCCCTGAACCGCCTTGTACTCCGCGGTTTGATATGTAGCACGCTGCTCCAGAAACTGTTGCGTTGCCAGAGTATTGGTGGCGAAGCCCTGCGGTGTGGATCCTGAACCAGGCTGGGACGACATGGCGGCAACGAGCCGAAGTGATACGGCCGAACCCTTTAGGTGCGGCGGTGTGGTCAGGAGGTCCTGACAAAACAACTTGCAAACATGCACTTGCAGCCGAAGCGCCTTTCTTTAGGGTTTAGGGTTCGGGGTTTAGGGTTTCAGGCGCTGGCTTTATGCTTTGCTTATTGGGGGAATGTACTCACTGGCTTTATGCTTTGCTTATTGGTACTATTTCTGTACTATTACTGTATTACTACTGTACTACTGTACTACTGTGGTACTACTACTGTACTACTATTGTACTACCACTGTACTACTGTTGTATTACTATTGTACTACTGCACTATTATTGTACTACTACTGTACTACTACTGTACTATTATTGTACTATGGTACTATAATCGTACTACTACTGTACTACTATTGTGCTATTATTGTACTACTACCACTGTACTACTGTTGTATTACTATTGTACTACTGCACTAGCATTATACTACTACTGTACTACTATTCTACTATACCTTGATTATTGGGGGGGGCTGCTAGGGTGAACCGCCGAATCGGGGATTGGACCCTAGCTCAAAAGAGGCATCTCCAGTACTAAAGTTTGTATAAAAAATTAAGTTTTGGGTCGAATCTGGACCGACCCCCCTTTGGAAGGGTTTAGGGCTTAGGGTTTAGGGTTTGTTATAGGGTCTAGGAGTTTGGGATTCGTTAAGGTTTAGGGTTCAGGGTTCAGGGTTTCAGGCGCTGGCCCAGACCCCCCCGACCCCCGACCGCGCAGTCGCGCAGAACCGCAGACCCTGCACCCAAGCCAGCCCCCAAACCCCGGCACCTCCCAATTCCCTGCCACTCAGACCGACCCCTGACCCCTGTCCGGGGCTACCGGTTCCATATTAAATAGAATTTTTTTTTTTTGGTCGGGGGGGGGGGGGGTACCCCACTATTAAACGGGCCGTTACATTACATTGCAGCCCCTAGAGCCCATGTAAATGTAAGGGCTCGACGAAGACCACTTGAGATCTGTCTTCAGCTCAGTCTGCGAGTACCAACCTTGATCCTTCACAACCTCGATCTCGCGGGTGCGCTTCACCACTTTCTCGAGCTCGTTCAGGAACGATGTCTGCCAGGGTCGGCTGGCCCAAACCCATTAAATTAATTGCCAGACTAAACTTTAAATGCTGGGTTGTATATCGATCTATGTATATATTTAAATATATATATATATATATATATATATATGGATTGTATATATACACACCATAAGAGCAAACCGTATGATGTTCGCGATAGTTACAAAATACATAAGCCATACATATCTGTATGTACAACATCAGCAGTATTAACATCTTATGAGTGAAATAGAATATTTTAACAGCATAAGGAAACAATACCTATCATCATAGATACATATATGCATGTAGTAAGAATATGTAGAACTTAATATATGCAAGTTATGCATGTACATGTATATACATACCCGTCCGTAAGTTATTATGGTCGCGATAGCGTGTATAGGGCTTGAAGGTTTTAGTAGGATTTGTTAAGAATACCTACAGAGTTGGGTTATCAGGGGAGCCCGACCTTGTCCCAGTTCACTTCCTGAAGGAGGGCGGCCATGGCCTCCTTCTGAGAAGTCCCTTTGTGCCATTGGTCAGCCACCCAGGCCGGCACCATTAGGTCTGAACGTTTCGTCTTCGGTCTGACCATGCGGCGAATGCGCTGTTTCGCGGCATTCTTCAGCATCTCCTTAGACAACTCGTGTATAGCAATATTAACGTACAGTACACTACAGTGGGACGCAGTGGCCTAGCTCACCAAAGTCGGACAAGTTGCACGCCTCGTCGGAGGGCGCTTAGCCTTCTTCTTCTTGATGAGGCCCACAGGATATCCCGTCGGATCTGCAGCGGCCGGTGGCTCATCCTGATCAATGTCACGGAGAGACAGACCGTTCAGTTTGACGCAAGAGTGCAAGAGACATGCATGTACAGGATCCCACAGCAGGATAGTTCACATCAAACCCGACAACAGTGTGTGCATGATCTTATACGTCATCTTGTGTGCCCTCTCCTCGCCCTGCTCTTCCTCCTGTTCCTCCTCATCCTCTTCTTCACTCTTCGATAGGAGGCTGGGCTCAGTCACTGCCGGCACACCTCCCGACTCAGGCGGTGGGGCCACGGCTGGGATGGCTGGAGGAGGCACCGGTGTCGGTGGCTCATCGACCTGCAGGGGAAATATGATTATGAGAGAAAAGTCTGCATTATCGGCCGATCAGATGATAGCAATGTAAGAGTTTACCTGTGATACTAGCTTACTAGCAACCTTGCCTGCGTATTTTCAAAGGGCTCATCGAACTGGGCAGGCAGCGTCTCGTCTTCGGAAGGTCGGGCTTGCTGTGCATCCTGCATAATCATCACACTACGTTACTGCATGTTACGAATATGTGTACAGTCACGGTACACGATTGCTTGGGTCAAATTTGGGCTTTTAATTGCCGGACGTAATAATTGCTGGGGATTGGGCAATGAGATTCATCGGATAAGTTACATGTAAACATATACATACATAGATATATTCTAAGAGGATCTTCTGTGTAGATGAGAAGGAGCTCAGTCACAGCACAATTGTAGCTCTATAGGCTGATTGGCCAATTACTAGATACCACCACTTGCCTCTCGGGAGTCCAAAGACAAAGTCGAAATGGAGGCCATGCGGATGGGCTTCTTGTCCAGGATAGCAAGTTCAGCCTGTAGCGCCTGTGACAGGAACCGTTTATCCATCGGTCAATCAAATCCCACAGCTTGCTTGGAATCCTTCTTATAGCTAAAGTTTGAATATACCCAGTCAAAACCTCGCGTAACCCTATGTCAGGTTCAGTATAGTATGTGATGTGTTTTAAATGTATCTATATATATATATATATATGTATATACATGCTGTATAAATATCCGCGAGGAGCCCTAGCCCTAGAAACCGTGTCAGGTTGGTTGCGTGGGCAATGCCAGGTTCTCCCAGGCAGCCTGATGGGGAGCTATGTTGGGGCTTGATACTTACTAAGTACAGAGACAACTATGGAAACTGAACGGTTCATATTGTGTTACATATGTTTCCTTATTGAATATATAGGCTCTATATGCACACAAGTATGATATATATATATATATATATATATGTACACATATTTTTATATATACGGCACACAGTCCAGGAACACCTTCTCTCTCTTTCTTGCTCCACACATATGTATATGTGTGTGCGTATGGCCAGTCTGTGTAATCATGCAGGGTGTAGGTCTACCACACCTAACGACATATACATATATATATACATATCCAATGTTACAGACATAGACCTGCACATGGTTGCGTCCATGACGTTTTGTGTATATGCATACACAAACGTTTATGTGTGTGTTCCCTTTCAACATGCACAGCATGTGCATTTAGATACACATAGTATATATACATGCGTAATATATATGTACTGTGATACATGTGTATACATACATACACACACGTAGAAGTCTATATATACAGATATATATATATATATATACACACGTATCATCTATACACATATATATGAATAATATATATATATATATATATGTATATATATGCCTGTACACATGTACAATAAAGTAAACGTTCTGATCTATATATATATATATATATGGATATGGGAAGAGAGAGATAGACTAGTTGCGTGCACACGCACATGCACACACTCACACATGCTTATACATCTATATGTATACATCTATATGTATATATATGTATATATATATATATGTGTGTATATATAGGCGTCCACACACACACACGAGTTTTCGTTATAACACTGTGGATAAGTTATCACCCCACACGATTGTGTGGCCTCGCTACTCTTCGATCTTAAAGACTCTATAATGGAAACCGGTGACCGATCTACACTATATTTACAGCACACCAGACACGAAAGCTAGGTAAGCTGATATATTGCTAGAAACAAAAGCACTGGCACGGTCTCCGGCCTTCAGTTCTCGTAGGATCTCCGCTTCGGATCTTTCGGGGGTTGCTGCCAGGGCCTCTTGCGTAACATCCTGGGCGCCTAGCGCTAAAGTAGCACAACTCCACCTGCCCGACATGGCAGCTCTGAGCTGTCGATCGGACAAAGCTGACTGAAGCCTGCTGATGACGAGCACCGGGGTTTCCAAAGTCACAACAACATCTGATTGGTAATTAACCGCCACAGGATCCATGGATGCGGTGAGTGGAAACTTCTCACGAGGCCTGCCTTTTGGATTCAGACGGATCGATGCCTTCCGCCCAGCACGTGGGCAAACCACGGTTCAGGGACGCTCGGATCTTTAATTTGGTGTCTAAAATGCACCCAAAATGGCATGGCCCAAAACCCGGTTTTGCAGTACGGGGGATTACGGGTTCTGTTCGGGAGATTACGGGGTTTGTATGGGTTCCGTACGCTTTGCCAGAAAGCAGGTTGGGTGGAAGGATTCGGGTTACATCGGGAGGAGTTCGGGTTACATCGGGAAGGTTTCGGGTTCGGTCGGGAAGGTTTCGGGTTTAGGCCTGCCAACCTGCTTTCTTCCAGCGCTGATGTGCGTAAATCATGTAAAATCAGCTAAAAACGCTTCTAAAACGCAATATGTATATTAACAAAGCCAGAACCCGCTTTCCACACCAGCAGCTGGCTTGCACGAAATGACCTAGAAATAGCTAGGGAATTGTGTATGGAAGATAGGCCCGCCATTCCTGTGGAATCCGAAGACTCTTGCCTCCTCTAATATACTCATAGGCAGCCCCGAGCCTTGCAAACTCATACAGATCCGCCTCCGCACTTTCAGGGATACCCAAGAAACTGGTCAAAGCCCCTGGGACTTGGGTACCCGGTGTTGCCGGGCATCCTTTGGCGGAGGCCTTCAGCTCCTCAAAGATCTTCGCAATGGCCAGGCCGAACAGCACGGGATATTTCCTCAGATGCACACAGCATAGAACCACTTAATTGGATTACTGTAGGCCGGGTTTAATGACATCTACGTTGTTTATGACTGCCTCCGTGGGGATGATCTCTCGATCTAGATTAGCCAGCTACATAGATATAAACCCTCGACCGTATAAACCCTCGACCGATCATCGATCATCGACATAATGTGTACATATATATATTTATTCAGATCACGATATATATATATATATATATATATATATGTATATGTATATATACATATATATATATATATATATAATATGTACTTATATACATATGTATATATATATATATATATACATATGTGTATGTATGTGTGCAGTAGTGTAGACATATATAGGTATTGTAGTCTAGCGTCTCTGTGGCTTTCAGCTCCTTCGTCCCTTGATAGCAAAGCTTTCCGGATTTGTTGGTGTAGGAACGACGGGTCTTGATTGTCCGGTCCGACCTCTGCAGCCTTGCCCGTGTCACTTGCAGCTGGCCGCTGTCAAGACGTCGGATAGCAGGTGAGTTGGCATATGCAAACTGGCGCTTGAGGCTGCTTGCGTAGTAGGCACCCATGTACCATCCCACACGGCTCACCTCAGAGAAGTAGAGTCATGTTTTAATTTATTTCATGACAAATCGCTGGCTTGCCTGAATGTGACGCATGCGGGAACACACAAAGCAATCGATCTGCACCAAATGTATGCCTGACTGGGGAACCTACGGCTCCCATTCCATCAACCTGGAACAAAGCAACCAACAGATGCCGCCAAGTGGGGTAGTACTCCATCAAGGATCCACTTGGCTGTTCCAGAATCCAGCAGCCACCGCAGGCGGTGATGAGGTAGCACAGCAGAGTGACCCTGTGGCCGGCATCTTAAGGGATTTAGGATTTAGGGCTTCGGAGGATTATTGGGGTCTGCCTGGGTTTATCGGGTTCCTCTGGGGGCTTCCGGGCAGGGTTGTGCAGCTTGCATGTGCATTGATCTACTCTATGATGTTTTCTTGGTCTAGAAGGATGCATAGTTTAGCTATATAGTCTATATATATATACTCGATACAACGTGGCAGCTGGCTTGCCTGCTATGGAAATCACAACCAGGCTTCTTCAGGTTGGTGATGCACACATAGAAGATTTCCCAGGCTAGGCTTCAGGTTTCTCGGAATGTATGGCACATATATTCAGCGCGTGTCTAGTTGACTGTGTGATGTTGCTCCCACCGGTCCTTTCCAGCATGCAGTTGCCTTCTGCCACAGACGGCTTCTCCGAGAAACCGATGCTCGCTGAAGCTGATCTCCCCGAACACCCAACGTTGAGCCCGCACCAAGACGAGCATTTGAGGCCGAACCAAACGGCAAAGTTCTGGACCCGGCACTTCAGTATGAAGACAATCGCGAGACTTGGTTGCAGAGACGGATAGATAAGGATACATGCAGTATAGGAGAGAGAGAGAGAGAGAGAGAGAGAGAGAGAGAGAGAGAGAGAGAGAGAGAGAGAGAGAGAGAGAGAGAGAGAGAGAGAGAGAGAGAGAGAGAGAGAGAGAGGGAGAGAGCGAGAAGACAGTTTCTGAGGTCTTCGATATCTCTAGCGTATTTCTAGACGATCATCTATATGATACATATCTTCCGTATCTAGTAGTCGGTATAGACGGATAATGGTGTCTATACAGCAGACAGAGATGGGCTCGACAGAATCTAGATATATAGAATATATTATATATAGTGCCTAGAGAAGAGAGGCGCGCGAGTTCCTCTCCTCGACCGCCACCCGAGATAGATGATAGTGAGTGTTTTCATCTTGCTTGTGATCCTCGAGTCGCCTATAGCTTATTGAAAAGCAGTGCCCTTCTCTTCCCATTTCCGTTCCAGCCCTTTCGCCGCTCGTTCTTGCTCTATCTTCGTCCCTTGCCACGCTCTCGCTCTAACCTCACACATACTCCCTCTCTCCATCGCTTTCGCCTCTCTCAGGCCTCTCTGCGCGCCTCTCGGCGCGCTCGCGCGCGTTTTTTTGTTTTGATTTAGTTTTCGCGGCTTTTTCGCCCGGCCTGAGGTCAAGGACGGTTTCGGCTTCGGTTTCCCTCTCTCTCCCTCTCTCTCCCTCTGTGTCTCTCTGTCTCTCTCTCTCTCTCTCTCTCTCTCTCTCTCTCTCTCTCTCTATCCCTGTCGCACCCTCTCTCTCTCTCTCTCTGCGTATCTCTCTCTCTCTCTCTGTTTCTTCTTTTTTTCTGCCTCTACCGCATCTTCTCGCTCGATCTGCCATATAAGAGAACATGCCCGAACTCGCAACAATTACATCGTGCCTTCCCTTCCTGTCCTCACCTTCCCTTGGCCTTCGATGCTTTGCCTGCTCCTCCCCCTCCCTTCCCAGCCGGCTCTGCACAAGCATGCGCATTTGTGTGTCTGCATGTGCACGTACATGCGTGACCAATGCGCGTGGGTGGACGTGTGGGCGTGCCTGCGGGGTGTGCATGCACTCGTGCATTATACCTGTGTTCTTCTATCAGTTTGCATATTGTCACTTTGCACTGATATACATGCATGTCTCTTTGGGTGTATGTGTGTGCAGGTTGTCTGTGTGTCTCCCTTTTCTATTTGTGGCCTCTCACACACACACACACACTCACACACACACTCTCTCTCTCTCTCTCTCTCTCTCTCTCTCTCTCTCTGTCTCTCCCTCCCTCCCTCTCTTTGTTGGTCTCACAATCACCAGAATCTCTGTGCAATCGATCTGTCGTGCTCGGACAGCAAGAATGCAAGAACTGGATGTGCACACATCCATGGAACGAACAGATGGCTTCTAAATTTAAAAGCAAGCAACCAAAACCCAGAAGGCGTGGTGATGTCCTGGTAGTTGCTATGCATTCCGGTGTCCTTCCTGTAGTTCAAATCGAACCTTGCCCCTTTAAACCCACGGAGCCGCACAGCTCGGGCGCCATTGGCATGGCCAGCGAAGAACTCCAGCCAGTCAAACTCCTGCCGCAACACAGCAACTAGATGCTTCCATGATCCCCACACACAGACACGTATAGATCGAACCCATCCACGAAAAGTCTTTGCCCGGCCTCGCTGAGATCGTACAGACCTTCGGTCCAGATCACCATGAGGACCAGCAGCACGAATCCCTGGGAGGGTTTGGGGCTTGATGCTTGTAAGGATTTAGGGGTTTATGGGTCTTTGTATATAGGGTCTATAAAGAATGTGTAGGTGTTGCCTAACAATCAAATCAGGCTTATCTGCACAGTTAGATGTAAATACCTCGTACGATCAGATTTACAAACTCATGAAGCTATATAGCACCCTAAGTCTCTGCTAAAGCATTCTGAGTTCATGCAAGCAACATAAGCAGCTTTGTTGTTGAAGTTGTCGTCATTTTCTACCGGGCAGGGATTGGGCTTCGGAATTCGAGGCTATATTGAGGAAGTGTAAATTTACTGAGTTGAGACCGCGGGCTCACAGGGCTTGAGTAAGGCCGAGGCTTGCTTGGGGTTTGTGGAAGGAATGTTCGTGGACCCCGAGAACCTCCAGAAAGCACTCGTTGGTCTTGGGAAGCTACAAAATCAGTATTTGCTAGTCATCGCAATCATAGTATACCTGTATGTATATAGAGAGGGAGCGTATGTACATGTATGTCGTTTCACACTACGGTAGCCACCGACAGTAGGCTAAGCTACCACGAGCAGGAGCAGCAGCAGAAACAGGTCACGAGGAGGCACCAGATCATCAGCAGCAGCAGTTTTTAGACTACTGTATGGTGATGCAGCATACTACAGTACCAGTCTAGTATTGCGTGGACTACTAGCACGGTAGTGGTTCTAGCAGCGGGTGGTACACAAGTCGTCGTGATACTTATTCGGCATACGAAACAACTAGCAGCTTTATGATCTCATATATATATATATATGCAAGTTACGGAGCTGTGGTCTGTTATTGTGAAGACAGCCAGCCATCTAGGCGACGAGTCCCAAGCCAGGCACAGAAGCCACAGGAGCCGATTCCCAAAGTACCCAACCCCAGGCTGCAACCAGACCAACTGATTCGCTCAACCCATATAGGCCAAGTTAAGCTTCACAACAATCAAATTGGCCCTAGCACCCAAATTAACCCACAACCTGGACCTATAGACCCTGAGCCCCTACGTAACTGGGAGCCCCGGCCTAGCTAGATTTAAAGCCCCTATATTATATAGAAACCCCGCAGCAAACACTATAAAGCCTCAAGCCCCAGAGCTCGAAACCCCTAAACCCCCAGACTCCTAAACCCATAAACCCCCAAACCTGCGTTCTAAACCCCTGCGAAGCATCAACTGCTCTTATTCTGCAATATTCCATATCGCCGAAATGCACGGGGTGCGCCCAGCACGGCCAGGTTGTGCACGAGCAGATCGACGGAGATCATTATGTCGAAGGATTGCCAAAGATTTCGTGGGTTCGGGGGCTTAGTGCTAGATGACACTACAGGATCAACTTGAAGTCACAGGCTTCAGTTCACATGAGGCTTCAGTGTCGTTTGTTTCAGCACAGGATGTCGGAGCCTGAAAATTCCGACAGCAGTGTTCACATGATACAGCAAACACAGCTGTGATCGACATGATGCAGCATTGAACTCGTGCACAATTACACTGCTGTCTTCGACGGCAATAGCAAACATGTCGGGCACCAAACATGCCTCGCACACGGTTCAGCCTGTGCTTCCGCTGCTTGCTTCGTCGAGAGTGTGTCGTCCTTCGAGTCGTGCGCCGTCTGCGGCCCATGATGACCCGGGCCGAAGAGATCGTTTCTAGATCTATGCGGCAACGCGGGATTAATGCATTCAGAGATATCTGGCTGATGGTGAATGCATTGAGTACGTGCATGGACTTCTAGCAGCAACGTCGACTGTTCTTGTCAGTGCACACAAACACGAATCCGCAGGTTTTGCAACGATGCCTGTGACCCCGGCATGCTCCAAGACTGCAGTCTGATAATGAATCCACCGTTTCGGTGAAAAACGATGATGCAACTCTTATCGCTGCACCACCGAGCATCTGCGAAGTGATGCTGCATCGCCCACCATCACGGCAAAACTTTACACAGCTACATTGGGCCGGTCGTACATATGCTTTGCATGGTTAACATCTTCAGTGCCGTTGAATGGCGGATGCCACAAAACTCGGAGGCGAGCACAGCGCTACTATTCATCCTACAGCAATGCACAACCCTGGCATGAGCTACGCACAGCTACCAAGAATGTCATGCCCCGGCATTCGGCCATGCTGGCATGTCAAGGATCCATGTGCCGAAATTGATGTAGTCTGATTTCACTGGAATCGCCTACAGCCCTTCATGCTCCAGGTTATCGAAAGTAACACGGCCGGCTGTCTTCCAATAGTCGATGACCGGCAGGATCTCCTCGCTTTCCGGGTCCACGATCTCCTCCTGCTGGAGGTGCTGTACCTGGGAATCAGGTATTTTTTTTATGAATTCATACGGGGCCTGTTGGGATACTTTTCGTAGAAGTGACAGAAGCTCGACAGTGGTATGTTTACATGCATAGGTGAACTCTATTTAGTCTCAATGCAACCAAACTGCAACGGAACAGGCACAGGAAATCGCAACAGCTGTTGCTAGGCGTGTCTTGCCAAAGCCAAACGTCACGAGATCGGTTTGCTTCTTCTCACCAGACTCATCCGTGAATCTCAGTGTCACACCGCACTTAGCCGTTGTCCAGTAGATGTTGCACCGGTATCCAAACGAATTGTCGGGGAGGAAGGGCCGGACAGACAGCTTGAACTCATCGAGAGACCCTGTGAGATTTGACTCCCGAACCCAATCGGAAATCCACTCCACATCGCGCTCCTCAACATCGTAAGCCGCAACTGACGATGCCCTGGGTCGACGGCCGCCCTTCTTGCTAGCCTTTGCAACGCCTTTCGGGGAAGCCTTTGGGGAAGCTTCTGCTTTGGACTTCGACTTGGATTTTGCTTTGGCCTTCGCCTTTGCAGCACCTTTCGGGGAAGCCTTCGGGGAAGCCTTCGGGGAAGCTTTTGCTTTGGACTTCGCCTTTGCTTTCGGCTTCGGGGTCGGGGCGGCACACTCTTCCAACTCCTCGGGCTCAGCCTCCGGGGTCTTCCCTCTGACCCTGCATTTGGTCTTGACCTTCTTAGCAGGCTTAGCAGCATCATCATGATCCTCAGGTGTCTGGACACTAATGTAGCCATCACCCTTCTCGAGCTTCACATAATTGTTCATCTCATCATCCCAAACCCAGTGGTCTGCTCGTGACCACCAGGCCTCAGTATCACCGTCGGGCATCGGATCCCCACTGCCGGAAGCCACGGATTTCAAGGCCTGCTTGCTTCGGCGCAATTTACACAGCCCTGACTTCTTGCGCTTAACCTTCTCCTTGGGAGCTGGCTTCTTGGCCTTGGCCAGCTTGTTCACGTCCTTCTTGCGTTTGCGCAGGCCAAGCTGCTCGCGCCGAGAAAGCACCTGCCGAGATACAGAGGCGAGAATCGAGTTCAGATTTATGTGGGGCTGAACATAAATCCTATTGCAGCCCGGTTGTGAAGTCCATCACTGGCATGACTACAGAGCCATATAAAGATGAGCAATGATGGGAATGGCTGTCAAACTGTTCACAAAAGCCGAACTCATACCCTGTAGAAGAGCATACCAGAGCTAGTCAATGATAGATCAGCAACATATTGCATGCATGGCTGCAACATGCCTCCTTCGACTCATCCGGAATGGGCTCATCATCATGGAGAGGATCCATCGGCTGGGGTGTTTCAGCACTCGGCTCGGGTGCTTCAGCGATTGGCTCGGGTGCTTCAGCAGGCAGCTCGGCTGCTTTAGCAATCGGGCTTCAGCAATCGGCTCGGTTTCTGCAGCAAACAACAGTCGTGTTGGGGTTGCATGAGCATCCACACCGTGCTGATACTGATCACGAAGGAAATCAGCTGGCAAGCTTTTGTCGATGGCCAAGTCACAAGGAACAGCATGCTCAGTTGGGGTAGGGCAATCAAACATGTCCATCACTTGGGTCTCGTCAGAGTCCAGGGATCCTGGGATATGGTTTGCAACAGGACACCCACCAACTCCAAATGTGGAGTTCTAATTGAAGCCAAAGGCTGTGACACTATGCGACACTGACAATTATTCGATAAGTCACTTGTCGCCACAGGAGTGGCCACCGGAGGAGCCGGAGAGCTCACAGCAGCTGGGGGCGCAGAGGCCCGCATCTTTGCATTCCGAAGCCTTACACACAACCGGTAATCGCAAATGGATCGAACAATAAACTAATTCCTGATGTTGCAGAAGTGCTTTCACTCGTATCGAATTATTCACATTCGCAAACATCGAGCAATCGTAAAATGCAGAAGATCGAGCTAAGAAGCGTCTGCAAGCTCAACTGTGCCTGCAAAATCCTTTGCTTATTCAACAGCTGTCGTCGGCGATTCTCGACCTCATCCGGGGCAAGGGTTTTGTCCTCGTCCGGAGTCGGCCCGGAAGGAGATCCTGAATAGCATGCAGCATGGAAACCGAATACCAAACCAATCATTGCCACATCAGGGTTTTGAAGCAGAATTTGCAACCATCGTGTGCTGATCAAAACGAATCCCACTCAATCAATATTATCCTGCATGCAACCGGGATGCTGGTCGAAGCTCGTGGGGGAGGCGTCACGGGTGGGCTTGCGCTGCAGGACTCGCTGGGAGTGGCACCGAATCTGATGCATTAGCAGGTCGATTGGGGGTCACCGCTGGGGCACTGATCGGAGCTGGACCCGTCTCTGCACCCGCTGGGGCACTGATCGGAGCTGGACCCGTCTCTGCACACGCTGGGGCACTGATCGGAGCTGGACCCGTCTCTGCAACCACTGGGGCCGGCACTGGAGCCGCTTCTACACTAGCATCACTAGTAGGTGGATTGGGTGCCACCGTTGGGGGAGTCATCGAAGCTGTGCTCGTCGGCGTTGTAGTCGTAGCTGCCGGATTTGATGCTGCACTTGGTCTGGGGTCAGGGTTTTCTGGATCACTTGTTGCACCAGCATCATCATCAGGCGACTCCTCGATGTACAATGAATGCATGCTGCAAACACATGTATATTCCCCAGACGTGCAACTCTCTATATGTGTGATGCACGCATGCATGAATGTCCTCGGCTGCAGGCCGACGGCGCGCGTCGACAAGCTCCTGCTGAGCACCGGGTCGGTACGATCTTAGGCTAAACCCTGGCAAGCCCCATATAAATCTTATAAAAAGCTTTAAGAACTCGACTCTAGATAGCTACGAATTGACACACAGCTAGAGTAACACACACACACACACACACACAGACAAGTCAAGCTGTGAGCACCGACGAAGACACTGAAGATGAACCTGGCTTAGAAAAAAATCCGGTGCCCGAGCCTGCAAATCCGGGTTCAGGATGAGGCACATATCCTGGAAATCCGGATCCTGGGATGTGGAAGCTTATAAGGGCCCAGCTTTGAAGCTAGTACAGCCGGTTCTAATGTACATACGTATGCATACGATACATGGCAAAAAACTGAATCCAGCCGGGAAGCTAAGGAAACCTCGTGTCGCTGGGTTTTCCGCTTGATGAAAATAAGAAGTTTGCGCAATTCCCATGCCATATCATCAATATGCGACTCCGAAAACTCTCTCTGATTCATCATCAGCAAATTTTCGATCTCTTCTCTCAGAAGCTCCACCTCTGGGCGCTTGTGATCAGAGGCCACAGAGCGAAGCAATAGAGGAATCATGACATCCCGATTTGCCTTGCATCTGTTGATCGAGTATTCGGACATTGTACCATCAAGCAAAGGTTTCCCGGAGCGCAGGCGGATTCGGATGGCTTCAATCGCATCCCACTCATCTCTCAAGCCTTCCGCATCGAACTTGGGTCCCGCCATGACCCCAAACTCGAGGAAATCACAAAACGAGCCCTGAAGCCAAAAGGAGCTACGATTGTTGCGCATGCGATATGCAGCTATGAAAATTCAGACCACTCGTGAGCGGCATGATTCAAAGCCTTCCAAGGCCCAGGCCTCCCAGCTTCAGCAGGCCCTCGCCCACATTCTACCACAAAGGCTCCTCTCGAGCCTGGTTGTGTGCCTTCGAATTCCGGCTACAACCCTCAATCGACCCAGCAGCAATGGAAGAAACCAGGTTCCAGGATAAAACCAGGTTTTATGTTGAAGAACCAGGTACTTTCCACAAGTTGGTCAATAACCCGGTACCTGACAATCAACCCGCTTTAAAGCAGGTTATGGAAGCCGTAGGTGGCCTTTACCAAGGGAAAACCTAGCCTAACAGAAAAGCTTCCTGGCCCGTTACCTCCAGGCTAGCCACACCATTCGCGGCGGCTGCTTGTGTGCAACTCTAGCCAACATGGACGCAACAACATGCTCGCATGCCCTCGCACTAGCCAATTTTACACAAGCACAGCCACACGCACTAGCCCTTTACGCAAGCGTAGCCGCACTAGCACTTTAAACGCAAGCACTAGCCCTTTACCAAGACAGCACAAGTGCAAGAACGTGGTTCTCTCCTCTCCTCTCTCCTTTCTTCCCCGCCCCGAGGACCCCCCTGGGAAGGAAGGTAGTTAGCCCATGTCATGCAAAACCCGCCCACCCAGCCACCAACTTTTCTATCCCCGCCCGGGCAGTCATACCCTCCCGGCACCCCCAGGGTAGAAACGGTAGCCCCGCCCGTCCCCGGCCTGCTCGCCCTCCGGCTCGGCGGGTCCTTCTTCTTAAGCAACTGCCGGGCGGTGTTGTTCCACCGGGACCCCTTATAGCTCGCCTTCACTATCGCCCTCCGAGCCGTCATTCTCCTTATCCAGCTCCACCGGGTCGGGGTCCGGAATCTCCGCGTCCGCCACGGCCTCGCCAATGACCTCTGCATCCCAGTCTGCTCGCATATCCTTTGCCAGGCGCTCTGCACCTTCCTCTCCAAGCTTGCCCGTCCTGACTAGTCAAGACAGGTTGCAACTTGATTCCTTCTACACGTGGTGGGAACAAACCGAACTTGATCGTGACTTTTGGTTAGAAACCCCCTCGTCATGGATGAGAATACATGTTGTACCCCGACGAGCAATGTATAATCCCTCAACTTGGAGAACTGGCAGCACGATCATGAAAGACATGTTGGTTGCGACTTTGGGCAGGGCACGCATGACTGAGTGTACATGTTGCAGTTCGCGCAGATGGCTAGAGTCAACGGTAGACTATTGGGAAGTTGATCGCTGTGAAGAACCTTCTTTCCCGTTGCTCTGGATCGGAAGGACCGTGCTGTACAAACAGCAAATTCCCGGCCCCCCTTTGCGTCGTGCGCCTCAAGGTAATGAGGTAATGAGCGGCAGCCCTCGATGCGAGAACGACAAGAAGCCAACACCGCTGGGCAGGATGCTCAAGCCCCAACTCCTCGAGGAAGCAATGCGCTTGGGGATGACAGTTCACCCGAAGTGGACTGCGGTGGAACTGAAGGCTGTGATCCGCGAGCAACAGGAATTGAACGGCGAGGGGGACCTTCACGACCGCATGAAGAAGATCAACTCCCTGTGAACCTTCCGGACCTCCGCAAGAAGGCGGACGAGCTGGGAGTCGAGTACCCCAGCAAGGTCACCAAGGGCATCCTCCTGAAGCTGATCCGCGAGCACACCGCGACGCCGGCGAACACCCTGATGACAATCGGACGCTGGCGTGGGTCCGAGTACCAGGAGATCCCATCGGACTATGGTCGTTGGGCCCTTCGAGAAGTGGGCAGCTCCCAGAATTGCCACCCCGATCTGGTGCGCTACGCCCGGTGGTTCCAACAGGAACTGGAGCGGGTGGACCTCGCAGACTACATCTTGGCGAGGGGCGACGGCCCTGTGGAAGGACAGTTCCAGAAGCTATCCTCAAGGCTATGGCTGGATGGAGAGGCAGAGTTTGACCCGGCAAGTAGAACCACAGCAGGCCGCCTGGTCTGGGCGGTCAAGGATACGGTGGTGGAAAGGCTATCCTGGAAGGCGCCCTGGACCAAGAGGGCACCTCGCTACCCGGCGGCGATGCTGGTGCGCTGGGAAACAAGTCTTGGATAGTTCGAAAGGCATTGGCTGGAGGATATGGGCTCAGCTAAGCCAGTCAAGGTCTGGGCTATCCTCCGTTGGTCGGACCTCCAGGCTATGATCCCGGAGGAGTGCGAGAGGGAAGGCTAACCACCATCCTGCGTAAAACGAAGACCACGGGGGCTACCCGGAGGATAAAGGATAATAAAGGAGCCACAGGTCTGCATCTCGGAGAAGGCCTACTTCGAGAGGCCGGCCTGGCTAAGCGAGGGTTTCAACCCCCTGAAGAGCTATGCTGGCTACCCCACAGACTACCTCTGGAGAAGAAGATGGCGACCTATGCGGAGGCGATGGTGGCTATGGCAGGCTTGCTGGCAAAGGCCGGTGTGCCGATCGTGGCTAGGAGCTATTGGTCGGAGCACAGCGAGAGGGCGGTGCTCCCCACCGGACTTGCACTCCATCCCTCCCGCCGAAGCGATATGTTGGGCCGCTGGAAGCCCGAGGGTTCGGATATCTGCATGCGGGCCTATGGCCAGGGTGGCTGCAGGCGATCTATGCCCAAGCGGCATGTGGAGAAGATTGCGACGAGAAGGAGATCGCCACCGAACTATGGGCTCTGTCCATATGCTACTTCCTGTCACCCCACCTCGGCGGGGCCAGCTGCCTGCTGCTCTGCCTGGCATGCGAACCGTTCTATCCCGATGCCTTCGTGTTTCCTATGACCCCACCGGTGTCTCTCTCTCTCTCTCTCTCTCTCTCTCTCTCTCTCTCTCTCTCTCTCTCTCTCTCTCTCTCTCTCTCTCTCTCTCTCTCTCTCTCTCTCTCTCTCTCTCTCTCTCTCTCTCTATCTCTCTCTCTCGTTGTCTCTCTCGGAATCTCCGTCTCGTGCCCCACCTCCTTTTCGGCCGTCTGCTCCTTCAGGCTAGCGACCAGCTTCTTGTAGCGATCGTCGCGCGAGCATGCAGTAGGCGTCTGGTGCTTTCGCCTGCTTTCCTGAGCATATCCTTCACAGCTGGATCAAGCTTCTTCTCAGGAAAGATTCTGGTGAGTTGCGGGGTCTTTGGGACAGGAGCCTTGGGCTGCAGTCTGAGATCCTCGATCTGGAGCACTGGTGTGGCGCTGAGGTCTTTGCCGGGGTGATTGGGATCGCCGGATGCCCGGATGGCGTGGTGAGCAAGCGATAGGACTTCAGGCCGACCTTCGAGAAATCAGCTGTCCCGCCCTCTACATCATAGATCATCCCCAACTTCCCAAGGACGGTGCGAGAGAGAAGTAGTGGTATGTCCCCTGGGATGATCGATGTTCTCACTTGCACCACCGAGTCGCCGAGCTCGAAATTCAGGATCACGTAGAAGGAGCTGTAGTGGATCTTCCCGGTGCCGAACCTGTAGGCTTCCGTCTCTTTCCTGAGCTCCGGTCGCTGGCCTTGATCCTGAAGAAGGTCGGTGTAGGCCTGGAGCCCATTGAGTTCCTGCCACAGTGCGGGCGCAAGCGGTATCATCTGTTATGCCAAGTAGAAGTTCATCACGAACATGTCGGCATGCATACACGCCAGCAGGTAGAACATGGGTCACTGCAGAAGTCATCGCAACATGTTTGGCAGCTCCGCCTCCCTTGTTCCCGCCATCATCACGACTGAGCGGGCAACTGGAGTCCTTGTGCCAGTGCCCCTTTCTTCCGCAGCCACTGCAGAAGCTCTTCGCCTTCATGGCCTTGAGTCGGGCCTCTCGTCCATGGTCGCGATCATCACCATGGTCGCAGCCACCATCGCTGACCGCCGGGCGCGGCGGTCTCTCTGTCTCCGGCTGGTAGCCCCTCGCGGCCTTCTGGTTCCGGTACTTCTCCTTGGCAGACTGCCACGTTGCCCATGCCTCTGCCACTTCTTCTGGGATGCACTCGTCCTCGTCGCCATTCTCGCCGTCGGTGTCCTCGTCGCCGAGGTAGTCGGTGACGTGCGCGTAGTTGGTCCGCTTAGCTCGAGTGCCCGAGCCCTCCCAGGGTTTGCGTTGGCCGCGATCGTACTTGTTGCCCACTGAGGCGAGGATGTTGAGCTCCTGGCCTTCCTCCAGCTGAAGTCGGTCCAGGTATACATCCATGCGGCCGCCTCCTGTGGTAAGTTGCAACCGACTTCCCGTAGTCTCCCGAAAAGGCGATCATACTCAGAGTTGTACTCCCTGATCGTTTGCCCGGGGCGACGCCTCATCTTCCTGAAGTAGTCACTGAAGGCCTTGCCTATGCGAGCAACCTCCAAGTCCAGGAACCTCGCAGTTATCCACGAGATGAGGTACTCTATCCCGTCGTCCTCGCCAAGACGATGGACTGAAAGCTCCTCGGCCGCAATCCAAGCCTTGCCTCCCAAAGCCTGGTATAAAACCAGGCCTTGCTGATTTGCAGGAAGGTAAGTCATCTGCCGCCAGGCGGCGACCTGTCGTAGATACCCTCGCGCTGCCACCTAGGTCCTCGGATTCCTCGGCAGTGAACGCAGGCACCGACAACTTTTCGGACGCTCGCCCGAAGCCTCGCTTGACGTTGTAGTCGTCGTTGTACCAGCCTGGCCGAAAGACGTTCCCTCCAGACTCCCAACCACGATCCGGGTCATCTGGGCGCTTGCCCTCGTCCCATCCGCCGTGTCGGTCTCCATGATCGCGTTGTCGCCCGAGGGTATCTCGACCATCTGCCCAGGGAGCACGGCGATGGATCACTTGATCGTGCCCCCATTGTCCTCCTTGATCGCGCCTCTGCCACTCATCGCCTGGGATGGCTCGTAGGTCTCCCTGATCGCGTACTCGCCCGAAGAGGTCTCGACCATCTGCCCGGTGACCGTCCCAACGGTCTCCTTGGTCGCCGTCTCGTGCTCGATCATCGCGCCATCCCCGCTCGCCGCTCCAGTTGGTGTTCCAACGGCGATCGCCGACGTCCTTGTAGCGGTCGTTGTCCCAGCTGCTCGCCTCGGCAGAGTGCGGCCAACGGCCGCCGCCGTGGCCATCATTCCATCTCGTCAACAGCCCATCGTCTCGCTGTTGCCAAGGATCAGGCTCCCCGTTGTGCCAGGGATCACTAGTAGAAGCACTCCAGCTCGATCTTCTCCCGGTAGAAGCGGGTCCTGCACGTGGGCCCTGCTCAGACTCGTACGCATTGCCCACAGCATCGCCGGTGTTCCAGTCATGGTGCATTGCTTCACTCCCACATTCCACTCAGGCTGAGTGGAGCTCCCAGGCTGATGCTGATCCCCAGCCTCAGCTGCTTGCTCGGCTCGACGGCCGCGCGATCCACTGTCCGACTCAGAAACTTGACGATCGTCCGCGGAGTCTCGATCCCCTCGCCGACCAAGAAAGGGGGTCGGTGGTACTTCAGGTGGCTCGACAGAACCTTCACCATCGGTGCCCTCGAAACCCGGGGGCGGTCCAGTTGCACCGGTCGCCATGGAGGTCAGGATCTACAGCTACAGGAGCACACAGGCTCCGCTACCAATCTAAGACGCTAAGAAACCTAATGCAAAACACTCGGACCAGCCTCGTCGTTGCGAGTCTTTTCCATGACTCGGACCAAAAGCCTGCGTCGCGATGTTGCCTGCAGAGTCGGGCGTCGGGGACAGGCACCTAATGTGAAGCTCTGGAATCAGAAACAACAGCACTGCGAGTAGTTGTGCAATCATCGACTTTGTGCTTCACACTAACCCTCTCATTACCCTCAAACCCTAATACTATGGCACTCTGCCTTCCAACCCCAAACCCTCAAGACCCTGAAACTTTAAACCCTGTGCCAGGTCTTCTTCATCCCCGCCTTCCTGGAAAGAACTAAAAATGTTAAACAGAAAGTTTTTTTGTAGTTTAACATTTTGTTCTTGTATTTGTTTTTTGTATTTTAACAATTTGCAGTTTAAAGTTTTTTGTCTTTTATTTTTTGTATTTTTTCGTTTTTTCTTTTAAAGTTTTCTGTCTTTTAAAGTTTTTTGTCTTTTCAAAAAAAAATATATAGCCTTCCAAAAAGTTTTGTCTATTATTAATTTTTGTCTAAATGTTTTTTGTATTTTAATTTTTTGTCTTTAAAAGTTTTTTGTCTTTAAAACTTGTTTTTGTCTTTTAAACATTTTTGTCGTTAAAGGCTTTTCAAAGTGAATTGTGTTGAAAAAGCACTGTGGATCTAAACCTTGTGGTTCTGGTTCGGTGGAACTACGTTGCACAGACAATGAAGCGTACCGCTGACGATGCTGGAATCCCATTGCCGGGAAGCATGGTTCGATGCTTTGTCTACGTGGCCATCGATCGCATCGTTTCATATGAGGGTCACCATTGCTTGGACATCACAGTCCGGAGTACAAATGATTTCCGAGCACATTTTGTACCGGACGGGAATCATCGTCCCGCCCCTCCAATGGCTATTCGTTTGCGACAAGGACAGGAGATCTTTCCCCTGTACCGTCTGTTAATACCCCCTCATACCCGAAGACCGATCTTTCTTATTGTTGGAGAATCATCTCCACAGTCATGAAAAAACAGCTGCGTGAGCACATCATGTTGTGTTATTGGACAGGTCATTCTGCTTGTGGAATTCATAAGCTCTGCAGCCTTTCGATGCTTTCGTGCCACTCAGCTGTAGCCCGTGAGTTTCATCATGTCCAAACGAACTTCGGACATGGCTGGGCTGTACTACGACAATCGGCCCGTCCGACTTCAGGTCGTCATCCCCAGCGATTTCCTGATGCAACCCACTCGCGCACTGGCGCCTTCGCACATGGAAGTGACTGTCCTAGGCTCTGATACCGCTGATGTGGCGAGAAAGTTCATAGCCCACAAGATGAAGGAGGTGACGCACAAATACAGGCCACCACACTTTCCAACTGCAGCAAGATGGGGAACATGTACAATTTAGGGAATCAATCTCCGAATTTTGATCAACCCATCAGTCGTTACACAATGCGATTACAAAAATACACCGCCAGACCAAGATCAGGACCAAGACATGGGTCCATAAAGGTTCACCCAGTAGCAGCTGCATGATTCAGTTTTGCCTTTTTGACTTTCAATCTCACACCTTCACGTCCGAGTGGCTGTTTGTGTTTGAGAAACCCTGTTTGTTACCGAGGGAACTGCCAGCAGCAGAAAAAACAGGGGGGCTGAAAATGTGCAGTGGTCGCCATCCCAACGAAGAGGGCCTTTGCACATGCTGATATTCTCGGGAGATGTCCTGAGAACGTACCTGCACTTTTTGCGTTTCTCTTGTATGGCAGCCAGGCTAAGCCTAGAACCTGGATGAAATTATTGTTTAACTGTTTAACTGCCTAGCGGCTGCAAATCTTTACCTCTATCAATGGGAATTGACATCGATTTCAACCAGAGGGAGGATTGCATAGATGTATGTGTGTGTGTGTGTGTCTGTCTGTAACAGGTTCCTTCGTGGGTCTCAAGTGTAGAACCCGCCTCAGAGATCGGCCCCCGCTCGTGGAAGAAGGGGTGGATCTTGCCCTGAGAGAAGCGCACGGCCAGTGGCGAGATCCAGCGCTCCTTGGACATCAAAACACAGATGCTGGAAAAGTATGCAACATTTGTTTGTCTGTATGTCTGCTTGTTTCTCCATCCATCCATCCATCCATCCATGCATCCATCCATCCATGCACCCATCCATCCATCCGTCCATCCATCTTCAAGTATCCTCCGCTCCACTAACAGTGACCTCGAGCAAGCCTTCTACCGGCGGCGGAGCCGACTGGGACCCTGCACTGGCCTCCCAAACAATGCCCTCGTCCAGAACGCGGCGAATGGGCTCCTGCTGCAATGTTTGCATGCCCAATGAGCCCTGAGCCCATGTTGGCTCAGAATCCGGAGGCCCTGATGGACGTGAAACTCCCGCACCTCCGGGAAAAGGTCGTCATCCTCCCAGGTGCGAGTTCGTTTAGGCTGTTTGGGCTGGGTGCCGTGCCGCAGCTCACCCAACCACGTTCGTGCTTCTTGCCTGAAAGGGCGGACCCCACTTGAGGTTGCCGAATGCTGCCTCACACGCCGAAATATCTAGCGCCAGCGGATTCAGGCCCTTGGGTGACGGCTGAAACGCAACTTCTAGTCAAGGCCAGCTTGAAGCCGTTGATGAAACACGCAGGGCGGAGATTCGACGGCATCGTGACGGTGGTCAGCACTTTCATCACGAGCATTTCGCAGCCTCCCAGGCACCTGACTCTTGACTTGTGCATCCAGGACCCGCCGTCTCTTCCACGATAACTGCTTGGGACTCCAAGGCGGGCTCCCAACTTCGGATATCGGGCATCAGAGCATCCAGCACGACGACGAGTTCAGCAGCCCCTATGCGCCCCTTCAAAACCCGTTAAAACCTGATCCCGGCGGGGATCCTTCCCGGAGTTAGAGCTCTTTTGCCCAGGCCCAGGCTGCCGTGGCTGTGCCCCAACTCTCCACGCAGCAGCAGCACAAGCAGCACAGGCCTGGACTGCAGTGACCTTCTCTCCCTTCTCCTTGTGAGGCGCGTTTTGTGCGTCTCCGGACCAGTCGCCTGACATTGCACCCACTCCAAATCTGCCCCCCGATTACGCAGTTCTCAACTCAAAAAGTACTTACACTCTCCAAAGCACGTGGTGCGCCTGCTTGCTTGCCGTTCTCCCAGCCGTCGCCGTTCTCGGACCAGCCGTGGCCGTTCCAGGACCAATCCCACCACTGCCAGAAAGAAAGAAATGTACCCATGCACATAACCCGTGCGTCGCTCTAGACGCTAGAAAGGCACCTTATCACTGCTCCATCCATGCTCGGCGGACCTCAGCACGACCGCAACGACCACAAAGTGCTAATTATCGGGGACTGCTGGGTTTCGGGCCAGACCCAGCCGTTCGCGTCGGCCTCCTGAGGCCATGCGTGCTTTTGCAGGCTTCTGTCAGCAAAGAGACAGAGATCGGCCTGCGCTTTCTCCTTGGCCTTACCCCGCCCTTTTTTGGAGTTGCCCTGCGAGTGCTCACCTCTGGGATAGGCTCAACTTGTCAGAGAGTGCCGGCATCTAACCCGTCTTGGGACTCTCTTAGGACTCTTCAGTGACAGCCTGAAGCCCATGCATGACGGAGGCTATCGCTGCTATGCAATCACAAGTGTTACGACTTGCAGAATCACCAATTCGCGGCCTTCCTCGACGTGCTTACCCTTGCCCTGATGAAGCATCAGGCATGAGATCGTACAGAAGGAGAGCAGGAGAGAAGGGAAAAGTGGAGACGGTCATCCAGGAAGGACGGCCTTGTCTCCCTTCTTCCCGACCGCCTTAGCTTCAACAAAGATTGCAGAAGAGGTTGCAGCCTCAGCATTCCAGTCTGCAACGCTTGTGTCTGTGATTCGCACCATCGCCTGCTGCTGCGCACTTGCCTTGAGCATGGCTCGTTTTCTCCAGAGCTCTGTCGAATTTCGCAAGCAGGACCCCGACATGCGCTGCAGCCGTGGCGTTTGCGAAGAGTGACGCCAGGGGTCCCTGGAAGGCCAGGGACTCAACCGCACATCGAAACTCCCAGAACCTTTGCCCAGCCCTCACCTAGCAAACCTATAGACGGACCTAGGACCTAGCATGCAGCCAGGGCAGGCACCAGATGGCTGAGATCCGCCTGCCACAGAGGCAAGGGAGTCCCCAAGAAGGCGAGCCCTAAGCCGCCCAAAGAAGCCTCCTTTAAAACCCAGCCTGGGCCTTGATTTGTGGCACTTGCCTGCCGCTCAAAGCTCTCAGAGGAGCTCTGATCAAGTGAAGCCCCGCGCCTTGCTGGAGGCGCCTCCTGCGGACACACGGACTGGCTCACTTTAGAAACCGTGTTTGGCCGCTTGGCGAAGCTTCAGGGCCCGTCCTTCGCAGGCACGGCTGGCAGCGACTTGAAGGGAGTCAAAGGAGCTGGGAAGAACCTCGCGGGCCACTGAAAACATCGCCAGAGTCCAAGACGGATTGTCTGAGGCCCAAGGCTCAGGAATTGTGAAGAAGTCGGTGTCGGTGCTACGTCGAAGTCGCAGAGTCTTTGGCAACATGTCGTGGTCGTGCCTAACTCGAGATCAAGCCGGGGTTTGGCACAGAAGCTGAATATCGTGCATCTTAGTCTCTAGCCGACTCTAGCCACAATAAAGATCCTCTTAAAGCCCAAAAGCGAGGGATAGCTGGGGGAGCCCTCAGCGTGTCTCTCGCATGAGGCGGGCCAGACTCAACGCCAACTGCAGGCCAGCTGCCACAGTGCCATCTGCTGCGACGAGAAAGGCCCCTGAACTCATCTGTTGAATGTAAGGGAAGCCAGGACAGATATGATTTGAAGCGGAAAGCAGTACGTCAAACATCGAGAAGGTAGGCAGGCATGTTCCATAGAACTGCCTGCAACTGGCCCTTGGTGTCAAGGTAGTGCCCTCAGAAGCCAGCAAGCGCGTCTGAATTTGTCTGAACATGACATTGATAGCCGATTTCTCCCACTGCTGGCATGATGCCTCTGGCCGCATACCCCGAGGAGCCGACAAGTCGGAGGCTTGGTCTGGGCCCGGAAGTGAGGTGTTACGGTAGAGGCATCCCACAGAGACAGCGAAAGAGACAGTGGGAAGAGAGATCGCGAGCGCCGGCTCAGTCACTCCTATGCGGCGGTGCCTCCGCCCGCTGCGGAACCTTCGGTGGCGCCAATCGAGGCCGGGACCTGGACGAAGGGGGGAAACGGGGCGGGCGGGCAAATTGAGATTCAGTTTTGCGTCTGCAAGACAAGGCACGTCCAGCCTTTTCGATGCACTCAGGCAGTCTTTTCTGAGGCGGTCCTATGCCCCCTTCTTGAGTCTTACTTCAAACCTGGGGGCTTGTTGCAAAGGTAAGGTCTTGGTTCCGTTCGTACAGGGGTGTACTCCTGGAAGTTGAGCACAGGGCGGTCCCTCAACTTGTGTAACAGTGAGTGCGATCTATGCCTTAACGCATATCGCGGAAGTCCGGATTCGAAGTTAAGGCTTGTTACGGTGTTGCAGGTGTTTGCTCGGCACTTCGGAGGTTCGGCGACATAATCCCAGGATTGCATCGAAGCACTTTCCGAGTCCGAACGACTCCCGCAAAATGTCATGCGACCCATTGCGCCGCAATCACAGCAGCATCACGTTTTGAGCGCCTCCCCATGCTTTGCACAGAGGAGCGCTTGCAAAACTAGTTCTCAATGCATCTTCAGTTCGACACTGTGCCCTGGCGAAGTGGGCTTCGGGAGCGCTTGCGCACCTGTCGCACCAGTGCCAGTCCCGGAAGCTCTCATGCCGCCGGCGGCTGGGGTGCTGGCGGCACGGTCGCCCTGTGGGCTCGAGCTCCGGGAACTGGCAAGCGTCCACATGCGTCCACGATGCGTCCACCATGCGACACCAAGATCCCTGCTCCTCCCTCGCAGCGAAGCCTGCCAACACGAACATGATAGCTCCGTATAGGCACCGCACCGAGTTCACCGTGGACCTCGACCTTGCTGCAGGCGCCGCTGTGCCCGACGCACTGTAGCTGAGCATTGCTGTCGAAGGAATCGGCTCCTATTCCAAATGCGACGCACGAAAGACGAAAGGAGACTCAAGACCATCTTTCTCTGAATGTCTCTCCTGGCCAAGCACTGTGCAACCGTGGCGGCCCAGTGTTCTTGCAGCAGACGCATCGTCGCCTCTGTGTGTCGTGCAATCCAAGCTCTCAGAACCGAATCTCTGAATCCATACCCTTGAAGCATGTGCTAAACAGCCTGGTCTGCAAGCAGCTCCTGCCGTAATGTGCGCCAAAGCTGCCTGGCAAGGAGGGGCGGAAGGGGTGACTTCAGCGCAGACACGACCCAACCCAAACAGCCAAACAGGCAGGCAAACGGGGGCTTGGGCTGCCTGGGCTGCTTCGCCTCGCAAGAGCCATGCATGCCCTCTCTGCCGCAGAAGGCAGTCGTATGCGAGGCTTACTGCAGGGGCCTCTGCATCGTCACTGGGGCCACCCTTTGCAAACGGGGTCGGCTTTACGATTCTCCATGACTATGCACACGGGACCTGCATTAGCTGGCTGGCGGCGCTTTCCAGCTGCTCTGCCACCTCTGAGGTCCCAGTCAGTGGGACCCCCAAAGATCTCCAAGCAACGCCTCTTCCAGGATCTCCTCGAACTCGTCGACTGGCATGGCGCCTTCCAGCCTCCCGCCAGATGCGAAGGCGTGAAGGCTGTTGCTCTTTCTTATGCTGAGCCAGTTGCCAGCATGGGCTGCTGCGATCGCAGGTCTGCATGCAGAGGCCGCTGTGGAGCTCAGCAAAAAAGGGGAGATGCGACACGTCGATGGAAGGCACAGCGAGGCATGCGAGGCATAGTGGTACCCCTGGGATGCCGGCTGGATGCAAGGTCACAATGGACTCGTAGCTGCTGAGACCCATGCCCTCGGACACGCAGAGAGCCTCGAGCGGCAGGCGCACGACCCCGCGACCCCGCGCCGCCCTGAGGCCCTGCTGTGGCCATGGCCGTGTGCGCGGTCCCCCCGCTGAAGAAGTAGACGTCGCCCGGACGAAGCAAAACCAGCTTCGCGGCCTCCCGCGCTGACATCGCGGCCGAAGAGCCAGAGGTGCAATCCCGATTTTGAAGGCTATCCGTTCGTCCGTCCGTCAGCGCTCAAATTCTCGAATTCCGCCGGATGCGCATGAGAGGGCGAACACTGCTCCAAGGCTGGACCACATCGCCTGCCGCAGTGCTTGCAGCTTTGCTTGGGACAGCGGCGGACCTCATCTCCCGCGGCTGCGCTTCAAAGGTGAGGGAGAAACACCACAATCAACACAAGCAGTGGAAACGGCCAGGGTAGAAGTCCCGGCGATACAGATGGTGATCGCAAGAGCAGCAGCAGTAGCAGCACGCGTCTAAGCAGTGAACCACAGCAGCAGCCGGAGTGTAAGTAGTGGGGGTGGGAGGCAGAATGTAGACAAGATTGGAATCCCCAGCCCCGCTGAGTCTGTGCGCTGAACAGCTGGTCGTCAAAGTCCGTGCAAATCTGGTTGCTGACCTCAAGCGTGAGTTTTCGAAGTGTGGGCAGAACTAATCCTGCCAAGCCCTGAAACGAAATTGGGATTTGCCGCCGAGTTCCCGACCGCGCCCTTTGGCCAGGCTGCCACCAGCTTGTAGCCGCGCCAGTTCTTACCGACCTCTGACAGATTGAGCACAAGATTGCGGAGTTTAGCCCATCTACACGTGCTCTGCCGTCCCTGTTCTTCCCACCGCCCAACAGACACCTTAATGTCCCGAACCCATGACATGAGCAACGATGACAACGGCAATGCCTGTGTTGCTGTCATGGGTCATGAGTATTAACATTGCTATTGGTTTGCTGCAGGTTTTCAGCTCTTAGACAAGGCTGCATAAACGGATTGAAGCTACATTATGAACCTGCTAGGGAGTCTGAAAGTCTTTATTTTCGAGCTGTCTAGTGTAGGGAGTTGAAAAGAAGTCGCTTCGGCCCCGGCCGAAACGGTCAGAGTTTCCGACAGGAAGCTACAGTTTACCATCGTCTTAATCCCCTTTGGACCCATTTACAGGGCCAGGAGCCAGGTGGTAGAATTTTCAGCCAACAGATGCTGTTAAGGCATCTAAGCCGAGCCAAGCTATGAACATTGCTCAAAATCGCAACCCGAAGCTTTTGGGGTTGGGAAGTCAAGCGAAAGGTCTTCGCACGTTGTGCTTCAGGCTTGCTGGATGCTTCTAGGGCCCTGGAACATGAGATCAGCGTCGAACTTGGATTCACTGTCTTGTTTGGAGTGTACTGCAGTCTGCGAACTTCGATCCAACCATTCTTGGACACTTCCCCTAAGAAACTACTTGGGAAAGGCCAGGAAAGCAGGGTGGGGCGACTCGTCACGTGAACCTATTGCAGACCAGCGCTGCGAATCACCCGAGCGTACAATTGGCAAATTTGCTTGGTGTGCTGGCATTCTCGCGCCGGCACATGCCAGCCAGATTTGCTCCTCCTAGTGGGTCCAGGAAATATCGTCAGTGACGTGCGCAAAGCCGTCGCGAAACACTCGGTCTCTATGTCTGGTGTTCGTCTGAGTTTTTGTCATGGTAATACTGTACATTGATTCGTTTACCCGCAGCTTCAACTGGCACCATGAGCATATCGAGTTACGCAAAAGGAGGTGGGTCTTTCCAGGCCCTTCATATAGGTAGAACATTCCAGTGGCTTGGAGCGACTATCACCGTTTGTCCATCGCAACGGGTGTGCCTCTCATCCCCTCATCTTCTTTGTCGATGACGCTCAAGAAAAACCTCGAATCGCAAGGAGTGTCCCCCATGTGGTCCGGATTCTTCAACTAGACACTCGGCACGCCCTGGTCCCTCAGATATTCAGTCCGCCATTTTCCTCCAATATGTGGTCCGAATTCTTCAAGTATTCAGTTCGCAAGCCCTGGTCCCTCAGAGATTTAGTCCGAGTGCTATTCTATTCCAAGCAGACAAGTCGCAAGCCTTGGTCCCGAAGACTGTTTGGTTGTACGTCCTGCTCCATTGGCGGAGTATCTGTGTCTTCGGAAGAGGACTGATAATCCCGAACTGTTGCAAACGAGGGTTCGCCATTGTCTCTTTGGGTGCGGGTGCTCTGGAAAAGCATTACAAGGGGTGCCCCCTTCAGCCCTGGATCTTTTCTGGTGATGATGCCCTACAAAACCTTCAATCACAAAGAGTGTCCCCCATATCGTTTGAAAAGGGAGTGTCATGGGGCCTGCGCTTGGGCACACCCAATGTTTTGCAATTATTGCACTACTTGTTCGGTACTTGTCGTTCAGGGTTGCTTTGTATGCTTCGGAAGCCCTCTGGACCTCTGGAAGTCCTGCAAGCCGTAGTTACACTAGCACAAGCCTCACACCCGACACCCTAAACCTTCAACAAAACCAAAAAAATAAACAAAAAAAAACAAACAAACCAAAAAAATATGAACAAAAAACAAATAAAACAAACCAAAAAACAACAAAAAAAACAAAACAATGATTCCCGCACTAGTCGGAATCCTTCAAACTAGTGCGGAAATCTTTGTTTTTTTGGTGTCTTTGGCTTTTTGGTTTCTTTGGTTTTTTGGTTTCCGCCACAGCTGATGTGCCCGGACAACCTCACGCAGTGGCTGTTCTTTTGGGTTCAGGGTCTACTTAAACCAGATTACTGTCTAATCTATCTTATGTTATGCTGATAAGCAGTCCGCCTGCTTATGGTTATAAGCAGGTTTTCTGCTTATAAGCAATCCGGCTGCTTATAAGCAGGCCTTCTGCTTACAATGGCTTACAAGCAGTCCGGTTTCTTATAAGCAGGCCTTCTGCTTATAAGCAATATCCTGCTGTTTACAGGCATTCGGGGGCCATATGAGTAGCTATTCGAACCCCACCCACGATGGCGCCACACACAAACCAAGACGGAGAACACGAGAACCGGCACAAATTGCACAAACACTACCGTAAATTTTATATCCTCGCCTGCTGCATGTTTGACGGAAGAACATGCCAAGCTTATCTACCATACCACACGACCTGGATTTGTTTGTATTTCCGGTTTCTGTTGAGTATGAAAAAGGGCTCGGCGGCACAACTAAAATATCAGCAAAAGGTAAGTAAGATACCAATGTTTGGGGGGAGTTGGGGGGGAGAAAAAAACAGGAACAACAAATTCTTGAAGGTAGGCCCCAAAGCCTTCAAATATCAAAAACATATGGGAGTTTCCGAACATAGTGGTCCCGAATATAGCACCCTAACTACAGTAGGATTCTGTTGACTGACAAACAGTCCTGCGGAGTGCCTTGCCGCTCTTCTTCACCTATCGTTCCAATTTTATCGGATTCAAACCATGGGGCAACGCAAGCGAGGTCTTACCTTTTCCGCACAAGAAAGCTGTGACGTACTTCAGTACACGGCCTAGAGCACATCTTTACAAACTCTAAACGCCTTGCAGCTAGAACTATCTTTACATGTCCAAAGCCGCATGCTTGACGCTCTTCAAACAGCATCTGCAAACATGAGCAAGGTTCGGAGCTTCCACACTCCTCCTTGACCCTTCCTTTCTCAGGAAGCGGTCACCAGCGTTTCACTGGTTCGTATGTTCCCCTAAAGGAACTGGTGCTGCAAAGCTGCTCCACAACTAAGCTGCATGCAAAGCTCACACCTCCAAATTGGTAGATGAAAGCTTGAGCTGGTTGGTTCATCCAGTGTTCTGGAACCTCAAAGCCCTACGAGCATCATTCCTTCGTCTGAACACAGGATCCGTTCGGTTGCACCAGGTGCACAACCTCTGCTGAATGATCCTTGAAGTCGCAAGTCTAAATCCGTGACAGTCCCCACGTGTGTGGACTGTGTCTCCATGTTCCGACCGGTAAAACGGTCCATCAAAGGCTGCATACAGCGTATCCTCATGCGCAGCGTAATGCGCCTCTCGAGGGGGCGTTGCAACCGTAGGTACCGGTCCTCTTGTACGTTCCCAGTCCGGTGTCTGGGTGCTGGTAGTCCCTGTAGATTGCGTCGTTGTAGTTCTGCTCGGTGCAAACATCGGCAGATTCATAGATGACGACGACGATGATGGTGGGGCCTCAGGACGTTGTTCCGGTGTGAATGCTCGGTCGACTTCTGCTTCTGCCGCTGCTGGCCAGGTTTCTGAGCTTTTGTGCCTTCTTTCCCCGTCCAGGTTTACAGCAACATGTCCAGACACGCCTTGAAAGCATCTTCAGTCCTTCCCAGACCATCACTGCAACCAAACATGCCAGCAATGTGAATAACAATAGGTCATCCACTCCAGCCCTAGAGACCATAGACACCTCGTTGTCATCTGAAGTTGCCTCTGCCTTCGGAACCATTTCAAGCGCTTTTGCAACACATGCAGCCGCTAGCATCCTCATCCAAACCATTGTCTCAGCTTCCGACGGCAAAAACTTCCACAGTTTCAGAAGAGCCCACAAACGGAGCTTCGGATGCACCTTCGTTGACAAGTCTGCCTTCTGTAGTATTCCCTCGATATGCTCTACCAACAGCCACTTCTTCTGAATCCTCTCAAGTAGAAAAGCTGAACGTACCTTGAAGTGACGCGTTCGCCAACTTCCTGGTCCTCCATCCAGCATGGCCACAGCAGATGCATTATCTACCTTCATGACTCTTGGCAGTGTCTGCGCCGCCAATTCGTCCAAAAGCACACCAATGTTTTCCATGAGAACAGCTGCTTCAGTTGCTTGGTACAGCTCCGATTCCATGATCGACAACATCACGAATCCCTGTTTGGAACATCTCCAAGCCACAGGTGAGTCCTCAACCGTTACAAGTGAAGCGCCAAAGGATCTGCTGCCGAAGGGTGCAAAACTAGCGTCTGAATAACCCACTATTTTAAGGTTATCAAACCCACAACCAACCTTGTTGTTGTGCTGCTGACTGTCTGTTGCGGTGCTTGGTGGTTTGCTTCGGCTGCTTGAGCTTTGCGTGCTGTCATCGATGTCATCCTTCGGAAACTCCGCCGGCTGCCCAAGGATCATCTTCATCCCGGCCGTTTTGTGCAAGTAGGAGAGCAAACGCATTGCAATCCTGCTTATGCGAATCGGATGCTTGCTCACCCAACTCGACATGTAGCTGACGACGAAGTGAATGTCTGGTCTACACCGCATAGCAAGCCATAGCTGTTCCCCAATCAGCCTCTGAGCGAAACGTAGGTCTCCTTCTGTGAAGTCCTCTGGCTCTGGGTCCACATCATCTGTGATCCATTCCTTCGGGCATGGTAGTAGCGTCTGCGGCGCTTGTAGTAAATCATGTGCCCGAATCAAGTCCATGATATAGCCTTGCTGCGTCACCTCATACTCTCCAGTCTCCCTTTGATACACTTCCATCCCAAGATATCGAATGCCTTCAGGAGCACTCGCCCACTCGAGTCCTGAGCAGGGCCATTCAGCACTCACCCAGCCATGGATTTTCTCCACAATCTTCACAGGGCCAATGTAGAAGAGGTCATCGACGTAGGTCACAACCAAGCCCACCAATTTAGGCTCCTCGCCGTCTCTCTGGAACATCACAAACCAGAGCTCTGCATCGGCCTTCGATTGTTGTAGATAAAGTCGTCCTCCATTGTGGGGTACATCAAGAGTTCGAAGTCTATCGTTCCTGTGAAAGGGCCAAATCGAGGGTGATTCACGCAGTCCATATAGTGGTCTCAAAACCAGCCATGCCTCTCCGTCCTCAGCGTAGTGAAGTTCCTGTAGCAGTCTCGGAGGTAGCACCGCATACATTGGCATCGACTCTGGCCACATGGCCTGAAGGAAAGCCGCTGTTATATCAGTGGTTGCCCCCCGCCAGCCTCGAGGTGAGGTTGCTGCAAGTAGCGCCCGTAGCGACTCAGCGCCCACGCCACCGGCGTAGAGAGAGCCTTGATCATCCGAAGGGGTCGCATGGTTTCCACATAGGACAAGTCGATACTTTCTTCGGAACCCACCACCCTTTGAAGAAGGGGGTTTAAGGGTGTGAACCCCTTTGCTCGGCACAAGCTTGAGCTTTCCTTGCGCCTCCAACTGGCGAGCCTCTGACATCTTGATCCGCTTGAGCGTCCCAGTAGACTCAAACAGGTTGTCCAGCTCCTTCTCAATGGCACTCTTCCATCTTTCTGCCACTGGTTTCACTTGCTGTAAAGGCACTGTGTGAGCCACTTGAAGATCGCCTTCTAAGTCCTCAAGGAGCTTCTCATAGTCCTGGTGGTCCGTCTGCACGTTCGCTGCCTTGAGGAAAACTTCACTTTGAACTTCTCGCTCACGATGAATTCTCGCCACCATAGCGTCCAGCATCTGCATAATCTCGCCATGAACCTGCTTCACATCCTGAAGGCACTCATGTTGAACATCGTGGATGTCCTTCAAACGTTCCTCCTCCTCCTCCTCCTCCTCAAGTAGATCTTGTAGGAAAGAGGATCTGTCCAACGTATTGTCCATCACTGTCTGCTGGATCTCATTCAAGCGCAACATCGCACCGTCCATCTCCATGGGTTCCACTTCTCCATCATGTTTCACTGGAAAAGACTCCAACGATCCATCTTGATCCATGATGTACTCCTGCTTCATGATCGATGGCTGAAGCTTTGACATAGGCTTGGTAAAATTCCAGTCTGGAACTCTGAAACCCAAATCTTCTAAATCCCGGCGTCCTTCTGGAGTCAACGTCGACAACCTCGGGGTATAAGTCATGATCACAATCCTGTCACCCGAGTAGTCCTGTGTCTCATGCCACGCTCTTGGGTTGAAGAACAGAGGTTCTCCCGGACATAGTTCATGGACCTTCCCGTCAACCCAACGTCCAGGCGAAACTTCTCGACATTCGTCTCCGCCTTCTTCTTGTATCCAAACTCCACCACCTCGAAACTCAGTCAGCGCAGCCAATGTATTTTGGGTTGACAAACAGTTGTGGGAGTCCCGATGGACTCTCATGCTTGCACCCCTTGTGATTGCAACTACTCCAAAACAGTCGTTGCCGGTGATCTCCTTTGCGGCCTTCACCAAGAAACTTGTAGTTGTAGGCATTCTTTTTGCCGTCGTCCTAAGGCCAGAGACTCCACCATGAGTGAACATACCAGTAGACCAGGATGTAGATGGGGTTTTGACTTCCGGATCCCTGCCCTTGAGGGTTGTGGCCGTGTCCTTTCCAACATCTCAAATATCTGCAAAACAGCGGCCTCATCGTACCTCTCGTCCAAGTCGAAGCTCAAGGCAAGGTCCTCTATCTCACGCTCCAAATCTGAAAGAGGAAGCATCGCTGCCAAGCGGGTTTTCCCAGTGACTCTCCGATGAGGTGGTTCTAAACCTTCACAAACACCCAGACCAGACGCATCCAACGGTTCGGGTACTACTGCTTCCCCTAATGGACCCAGCATCGTGCCTTCCGGTGAATCTCTCGTTGGTGGATGAACTTCACCTTCTACAGGTACTTCTGAATTCCCTGTTGGACCCAGCATTGAGCCTTCCGGTGCTGAATCTCTGGTTGGTGGATGAACTTCATCTTCCGGTACTTCATGTAACATGGTTTTCTTCCTCGTTCGTCGCGACGGCATTGGTAGGACGGCTTCCGCTTCATCAGGCTTGACCGCTTCATCAACATCCACAACACGAGTTTTCATGTGCATTGTAGTCAAGTACCTCCCGTTCTTATCTCTTACCACAAAGCCGCCACGAAGCTCGGTTGAGGGCCCAACGAAACATCCATTGTCCCACTTGTTGTTCAAATCGAACTTTCCACCCTGTCCAAAGACCTTGGCCTTGATGCTCACATGGGCCCCAAACGGAACCACCGAACTCGCCCTTTCTAACGCACATTCCCTCTGCGCCCAAGCCGCATGTCCCATAGCCAACGGCCAACACGACCTTGGAAGTCCCGAGCTCTGCAACAAGGTCCTTGCACGTCGCTTCAACTGCTTCACGACCTGCTCCGCCTTGCCATTTGTGTGAGGCACTTGTGCCTCTCCGGTTGTTGGGTACACGTCCCTTTCCAACAGCCATTTTCTTATTCCTTGTCCTCTCAGCTCACGTGCACGATCACTGTGCACACGTTGTAGTGGCAATCCTTCGGATCTGAGTTGGACGTACATCAAACGGATCGCCGCCCCAACTTCAGGCGCGGTCCTGGTCTTTAAGGGGATCATGAAGTGGAGGTTCTGGTACTCGACGGTGTCCTTGAAGCCCTCAAACAACTTCTTGTACTCTTCATTGGCACAGTTCATTCCATCCTCCTCCTCACGAGTTACCTCTTTCTCCTTTTCATAGATCTCCCGCAAGAAGTCGTCATCATCATCCAAAGGAATATTTCCCACTCCTCCTGAACAATCTTCTCCTTCACCGTGCTCCTCAGGGATCTGGTAATCCTTGAAGCCCACCAACTTCGGCATGACGTAGCAACCCACACCGAAGCATATCTGTACCCCTTTTGGTCCGCCGTTTCTCCCTTAACTCTGAAAGGGCCAGCGAGGTCAATGGAGAGGTTGTAACAGCTTGCGGCCACCAGCCGACGATGACTGCGACCGGTTGCTGCTGTTTCAACGCAGGTCTTGCAATGTCTGCTCTAAGGCAGGTGTCCGTTCTGAACATGCCGCTTCCATCTCCGTAGCTCCTCTGCGCTCATCTCGCCCGTGTTCGCAAGCCCACTGCATAGAACCAACGGCTCCGGTCTCCTCCTCCAAAGGTGAGCTCCTTGAACAATCATTGTAACGAAGCTTCTTGACCATCTGTTGCGGCCCACGCTCTCGGCCTGCACTCCCGGGCCCCATCCAGCATCTTCTCCTGACAGCGCCAACGTTGTTGCAACACAGTAGCACTTGGACTCCCCACGCGGCGAGACCTGCTGAACAGGTACTTGGTACTCTCTCTGGAAACCTTGCCACATTGGTGATTTCCACCAACCGGAAGTCGGGGACGCCGTCAGAGCCAGGTACGGGCTCAACATGCGATGTTGTCGAGCTCCCTCTTTAGCTAGCATCCAGAGTAGAAGCTGCTTCGTTCCAAGTTCCTGGGAGTCATTCGAAGGCGGGGCACCAACAACTCCTTCAACTTGTCCTCTACAGGCACCACAAACCAAAACCTTGTAGGCTGCGCTGTCGCCCTTCATTGAAAACGCCCGGCTTCGGTGGATATTGACGTTGAAGACCATAGCGTCCTTTGTCTCCAAGAGCTTGAAGTCTTCTGAGGATGCACCACCCATCTCTTGGTCAACAAAGCGCGCCTTTGTGATCGCCGAACAGGGAGAGCCTTCATGTACTTCTTTCCCGCTTCGTCTCCCAAATCAACATCCACAGATAACAAAGACCTTAGCGTGCACTAGCTCCTATATCCCACCACCATCCCCGGATCTCCACCAGGACGATAGTAGTACAAAAGTAGATAGCTAGCGAGCTAGCCGAGCGACGACCAGACGAACAAGCAACACAGCTAGCACGGACGTTCTTTTGTCTGGAGTGGCAACTATCCCAGGTTGCCTGGAGATAACTGATAGCCTTCGGCTATCTATCCCCAGGGTGGGCAGGGTGGGTACTTCAAAATTACCCCCCCTGATGGGGGACTTTATCCAGAATGGCAACGGTCACACACCGTCGTAGCCATTCCAAGTCACAGCTTATCCTGTCTTCGCATGTCAGAGGCAACTCTCCTGCGAGCGACGATAGCGAACGAAACTTCGTTTCTAGCGAAGCTACCTTCGATAGCTTCGAGTAGTAATAGGTTAGCTAGCACACATAGTCGTAACTCGTTCCTCGTCACGAGGTACGTGCACTAGCTCCTATATCCCACCACCATCCCCGGATCTCCACCAGGACGATAGTAGTACAAAAGTAGATAGCTAGCGAGCTAGCCGAGCGACGACCAGACGGACAAGCAACACAGCTAGCACGGACGTTCTTTTGTCTGGAGTGGCAACTATCCCAGGTTGCCTGGAGATAACTGATAGCCTTCGGCTATCTATCCCCACGCATCGCCACTCAGGCTACCAGGGATCTAGCTTTCTGGCCTTACGGCTAAACTTGGACACCCTATCCGGGGTCCCTCGCTTTCGCGTGCCTAGCTCCTGGTAGAAGCTATCTGCATGCGCGAGTAGCCGGCCCAGAACACGCCACTGGAATTCCTCTCCTTTCAGATCTATCCTCTGAGAGGGATCGAATTCCTTGAACTCCTCGTTCGTGAGGTCATCCGCTAGCTGGTTGATGTCTCTCCGTATCCACTGGAGCTGTAGCTCACAGTTTTTCTGGGATAGCTCTTCTGCTATCTCCATTAAAACTAGCATGGAGGGATACTTGGTCGTCATAGCCTTCTTCACAAGTGCCTCATTGGACTTGTTATCCGTATAGCCGCGGATGGCTACTCGCGAGGTCTTCCTATCCTCGCCCTCGGGGACCCAGAGACGTATCCCCACGAGGGTCGCTAGCAGTTCTAGCGCAGCTATCACTTTCTTGGGGTCGCCTTTGGCAAAGGCCCACGGAGCCCAGGCCCTATCCACTTCTAAGGAAAACCAATCTCCAGGAAGCCACCTATCCAGGCCCTATCGGACTCAGCTTTAGCATCCGTGAAAAAGCTCAGTGGAGGTAGCCCGGCGTAGAGAGTCACGGGACGTTGTAGCCTCTCTCCCTGGTCAAGCTTGTCGGCTAGCCACCGCATCAGCTTGGCCGTGACCTTGCCGAAGGTCACCTTGTCGTTTAGCCAAGCCGATAGCCAGGACGCCCGCTTCTTGGACATCCCTAGCCGGTAGGAGGAGTACTCCGTCTCCATTCCCAGCCACTCCACCCTATAGCCACCACGAGTCTTCGCCCATTTGAAAGGATATCCCAGAACAGAGAGGAAAAGGTAGCTCAACGGGATACCCTTCCTCCCCTCCGTTCCTATCCCCAGGGCCTCGAGGTCATCGGCATATAGAAGGAGGTCGATGGGATAGCCGGGGCCCAACAGATGATGGGTTGCCCGTAGCCCACATGCGGCTATCCGGGTCCACCAGTAGCTAGCCGGCGAGAGTCCGAACGTGCCCACTTTGTTGACGTAGACGATCTGGCTATCCGGGTCCCCGGGGATCGTCTCCTCGGTGTCTATCTGGCAGCCCATGAAGCCGTGCTCGCTAGCCTGGTGTTTGTATCTCCGATGGGCCTTCGAGATATCCCCCACGACCGAAAAGGCAATCTCGCCACAGCGTATCAGCTCTCGGAGGATTTGCTTCTTTTCTCTAGCCCCTGGCGCCCGGATCTTATCCCGGCAGCGTATCCGGTGGTTCACCCGGACGCCGTGGGTCGCGTCGTGGATTATCCGCTTCTTGTCCTTCTCCTCGTCCTCGACTATCACGGCCAGGGAGGCGATAGCCCGGTCCTCGCCGAACCTCGCCTTGAACTCGCCGAGGGTCATCCTCTCCATGAGGCCTTCCTCGACGTCCTCGTCGAACTTAGCCCGCACAAAATCCCTGTGGTCGCTAACCG